GCTGTCCTCTTACCTAGAATCATGGGCTGCATCTCATTACTGCTCCCTACAAGATGACCAGAAATGTCACTTTCCAACAAGCCTAGTTAAAACAGGGAAACTGAGCTGTTCCTAACCTTGGTGAGTCTCCTCAAGATATGGCCTGTAATGGGGCCTTTGGCTCTGTGGGCTCAGGGTAGCACAGAGCCACCATGATTGTGAGACTGAGTATACCTCTCCAGGGTGCAGTCCATCACTTCAGAAGGTGTGGTTAGGTTCGTGGTAAATACTTAGAAACTTCCTCTGAGGCTTCTTAATTGTGAAAGATAAAACATGCCATTGGGAAAATACTTCCTTCCTGTGCTGGTAAAAATGGCTGAAAACATGACGACAAACTAAAATGCAGTTTTGGCAGCAAATACTTTCAGAAAACCCACAGCAAACATTGGACAAGGCTGGAGGAGACATGTCTTCGACAATAACATGCTGACATGTACTGACAATAATGCGGGACTGGAAAAGCTGCTCTGCATCAACTGAGTTGCACGATGTGCTCAGGAATTAAAAATGTTTGTTCTTGAAATTTTTTGATATTTGTTCATTTGTATATTACTTATTTTGGTCAGACTTGGTCAAAACCATGTCCTCACCTGTCAGTAGTGTGTGAGGCTCAGACTCCACAAACCCACTGGTCACATCTTAGGGCCACACACACTGCGTTGCTGCAGCTGTGAGCCTGTGTGGACAAGGGGCACTTGGACCTTATGTGCTCCAAGTTAACATGTACCCGGGTTTTAAAGATTAGTATGAAGAGAAAAAGAATGTAAAGTATCTAATGTTTTGATTGTGTGTTCAAATGAGACTGTCTTAGATATTTTGAGTTAAGTATATTAAAACAAATTTCATGTCTTTTTGTTTGTTTTTTTGAGACAGGGTCTCACTATGTAGCTCAGATTGGTCTTGAACTTGTGATCTTCCTGTCTTAGCCTCCCAAGTAGCTGGGATTATAGCATGTGCCACCACATCTGGCAGCTTTTTGTTTTTTATTTATTTCTATAAGTTTTATAGAAGTTTTATAAAAACTCAAAATTAAGTTTTATAGAAACTCAAAATTAATGTGCATTTGTGACTCAGTTCTACTGGATGGTCTGCTTTGTACTTTACTTTTTTTTCCCCCTCTTGATGGGGATTGAACCCAGGGTCTTGTGCATGCTAGGTGAGCACTCTACCACTGACCTGCACTCCCAACCTTGTTAACTTATTTTTTGGCCCCTTGTGTTTCTGAGAGATGTTTATAAGAAAGCATTTCTTATGGTGTGGTGGCACATGACTGTAAGTGGAGCACTTGGGAGGCTGAGGCAGGAGGATCGGGAGTTCAAGGCCAGTCTGTGCTACATGAGAGCCTGTCTCAAAGAAACAAAGCACTGGTTTTGAAGTTCCTCTTCCTGTTGCTATCCAGATCTTTAATCATAGTAATGCTATGGACTTGAATCCTCACCATTTTCTTTTGTTTTCTATTTCCTGTGCGTTTATCTTTGTTCATTCATTTCTTCCCTTTTGGTGGACTGATAAGGTTTTCTTTGTTCATTTAATTTGTTATTGTGGTTTGGCCAGTTCATAGCTGTACTCCAGTTGTGACAAATCAAAATGTGGTCATGCATTGCAGATGAGACTGAGGGGTATGTCTTACGGGGGGAACCCCTGCTCCATGGCAGCTGTGCCTATGTGAGGACAGCTTGTCAAGGCAGCCCAGGTGGGCAGGCATCATTGTGCCTGGCATTAGGATGACTTGGGTCTGAGGCTTGTCCTGCTGGACACATAGTGTGTGTGTCGGGGGGGAGGGTCGTTCCCCAGCCTTCTGCTTCCTGTTGAGAACCTGCACATCTCATCTGGTGCTGCCTTGGTAAGCAGTGTGTGCAGTATTATTATCTTCTCATTTCTATCTTATGCTTCTTTTGGTTATAGTTATTAAAATACAATTTTAATGTCTAAATCTGATAGTAAAACTTTGGGGCTTTTGTTTTTTGTGTGTCTTGGTATTTGTTTTAGTTTACTTTATTATTATTTTGCAGTATTGAAGTTTGAACTCAGGGCCTGCATCTTGAGCTACTTCACCCACTCTTTTTTGTGATGGGTTTTTTTGAGATAGGGTCTCTTGAAATATTTGCCCAGCCTGGCTTTGAACCACATTCCTCTTGATCTCTGCCTCCTGAGTAGGTAGCATTATAGGCGTGAGCCACTGGTGCCTGGCTCCAGTTTATTTTTTCAGTAATTCAGTGTTACTATGTTTAATGAAAGTTGGGTCCAGGTCAAATTGGAAGGTATCCATAGTCCTCCCCAGGAGGGTCTGCAGGGCAGGAGTACTGGAGTGGGAGGGAGCATGATGGTGGAGTCACCACCTCTGCCCTGCACTGAAGCCTTTTCTTCATCTGGTTCTTGTCTGCCTGGGAGGAGCACTGGATACCCAGTGGAGTTTGCTGGATGCTGTCTGTTGGAGTGATGCAGCGTGGGGGTCTAGAACTGAAGCTCTCCTTCAAAGCAACAGGCTTTGTATCTTGCACATGGACACAGTCCTGGAGATCAGTGAGATATGTGGGCAAGGATCCGTGTCCCACCAACCCAGCTGCATCTGTTTCTTCGAATAGCGTTGCCTTTTCCAAAAGGGTCTTGCAAGTGCTTGCATCTTGCCTGCGTGTGCATTGTTTGTTTTAGATTTTGAATTTTGAGGTAAAGTTAAAAAACAGCCTATTTCATTTGGACAAAGGAAAGACTCAGGACTCCATGTCTGCAGCCCACCAATATCTAGGAGCTTTGCCCTGCTTGTACACCATGTAGGCTGGATGGTGAGGCAGAAGGCCCTTGGGCAGCCAGGGGTATTCAAAGAGGGCCCTCCTGCCCAGATTGACACTGTGTCTGTAACGTTGAGCACGGCTGTGCCTCTAGTTGCAGAGACTTTCCGATCTTGGCACACTAATTCCTGGCATAGTTAAAGAGTAGATGTACGAGCTACCTTCCAGCATCCCTCCAGAATCCTGTCTCCTGGAAAGACACTGCACATAGAATGGCACATGGAGACTTGGATTCAGGAGAGGTACCAGGTGCCAGGGTGGTTCAGGGATTCCGGGGTGCCCCCAGAGCTTCACCCTGTGCCTACTTTTACTCCTCATCAGGTACTTAGTAAAGACTGCTGTGAGCCAGCTCTGGGCTAAAGCGCTATCTCTGAAATGTCCACATCCCTTGGATAGAGACAGGAAAGAGGACCCCTTTGCTTTTTTTTGTAAAAAGTACCAAGTCCTCTGAGAACACATCTGTGACAGCATGCAGTGTGGAGTGAGGAGGGTCTTGAAGATTGCCCCAGCAGCCACAAAGCTCTGGGCAGGAGTGGGAAGCATGTGGGGATGCCTGGCCCACAACACAGAGCTTCCAGAGATAGTGCCTGCTGCTTCCAGCACTGCTTGCTGCCCTGCCTGGCCACACTGGCCTCCTGTTCCCCACAGGAGCATGCTGTGGTTTGACAGCTTCCCACCCTGTGTTGCAAGCAAGAGTCCCTGCTTAGTCACAGACAGCAACGGCATTGACAGTGGCAAACATGGCTTGTTCAGTGTTGGTGTGGATGGAACGGCACATAGCATGCTGCCACCCCATTGAGTCCCTGTGGGCCCTGGGGGTGTCTGGGGGTGGTGGTGGCTGGTCGGGGAGGCTGACTTGGGAGTTGCAGCTGGGGCACCAACACAGTGCTGCAGCAAAGCAGGTTTGGGGGTAAGAGTCTAGGGCTAGTCCTCTTCCTGTGTCTCCCATTATCCCCATTGTCTCTGCTCCTAAGAAGCACAGGCTCTGAGCCACACCAAGCTCGTCCCTACCCACACCCTGCCTTCCTCAGGCTGTCACTGTGAGCTCAGTGCCTGGCCTGTCTGTGTTGGTGGGGCTGGCAGAGCCTCCAGGAGCCTCTCTTCCATTTCTGGGTGGGCTGCAGAGGACTTTGCTTAACAGCAAAGTCAGAACCAGCAGCATTATCAGTGCAGCCTGCCTCTTGAGCAGTGCTTCCCCCAGGACTCTGTTGGGACAGAGACAGGGTGTGGTGCTGGGTGTCATGTTCATAGTTGTGGAGCCAGGAAAAGAGGGGAATGTCAGCTGCAGTTCTTTGAGAGCTTGTTTGAAGGTTCTAGCAGGGGAGCGCAGCTACTCGTATACCCTTGACCGAAGAACGGTCTTCCTCTATCGGGGATGGTCGTCCTCTTTGACCGAGCGCGCAGCTTCGGGAGGGACGCACATGCCTAGCCAGCCAGGTCAGCTGAATCAACCCTGGCGATCAATGGGGTGACAGATGTCGCAGCCAGATCGCCCTCACATCCGCTGCAGTTCTTTGAAAGGGTAGAAAGTCACAGCGACTTCAAGGTTCTTCATATATTCTTTATTTTCCAAATTTCCTATTGGGAGTAGGATTTTTTTTTTTTTTTTTACAATCGGGGTAAAATACTACTCTTTCACTGAGGAGATGGGCTGAAAGTGTATTCATAATTTCATGTGGATGTTCGTGGTTTGCTTCAACCCTGGTGGATGTGGAGTTCTGCCTTGTCACCTCCACAACATGTGGTAATATCCCTACCTAGCATTGTCTGCGTGACTGGGTCCTTACTGGCTAAGCCTAAAGCCCCTTTCACCATTCTCCTTCTTTAGCCACTTTTTAAACTGTTCTAAATGAACTTTGGGATTATTTTGTCGATGTACACTTAAACTGTTTTGGAAGAAATGGGACTGCATGCCATCTGCAGATTTGGGGTAGTATGTATCTTTGCTTTCTCCCTTCCCCCCTTCCCCCCACTCCATCCCCGGCTATCCTCCACTCACCAGGCCTTGTGGGTCTTGGTCCAGTTTGCATTAGATGTGTTTTGTGAGAGCTGAGCGTCTATGACATTGCCTCTACAGGTGCCTGACAGAGACTCATGTGCTGCACCTGGGTGGGGTACCCACACACCGCCTTCAAGCCAGGGACGGGGCTCTCATCATCTTTTCTCATCTAGGTGCCCTATGAGACACTGAATAAACGCTTCCGAGCTGCTCAGAAAAACATTGACCGGGAGACGAGTCACGTCACCATGGTGGTGGCCGAGCTGGAGAAGACCTTGAGCAGCTGCCCAGCTGTGGACTCTGTGGTCAGCCTCCTGGACGGTGTGGTGGAGAAGCTCAGTGTCCTCAAGAGGAAGGTCGGTATTGCCTCTTCTACTTTGTTCCCTGTGAAGGATGCGCCCTGGCTGGGGGGTCTTGAGGCAGAAAGGCAAGCTGCATGTAGGACACAGGCCTACTACTGCTGGACGGCCAGGTTGTCTTGTCCTGACTCCAGCTGGTGGGGAAGCCAGGGCTTGTGGCAGATTGAGTTTTAGAATTCACCTCAGAATTGCATGCGGAACTTCTTGTTTCTGGGGCTGGTAGACTGGGTGTTTAGAGTAATCTGCCCACCAAAAACAACATTTTAAAAAATTGAGTTAGACATTTAAAAACATCTTCTTGGGAAGATGTCAAAGAGCCCAGGAGGCAAAAAGGAATCACCATTCCAAACTGGAGGCAGGGGTCAGAGAGGTGAAAAGGCCAGGGACAAAAATATGTCATTGAAATGTTGACTGGGTATGAGATATGGGGTCCAACGACCCCAGACCTGATGGAGATAAGCTGGGGGAGCCTCAGTCTAAGCACCAGATTGCTCTTGGTGATTTTTCAAGTACAGTGTTCAGCACAAAGACAGTCCAGATCATCGGCACACGACTGTTGAGAGAACCAGCAGAGGCAATGGACAGGGACTGGCACAGACTTCACTATGGGAATGTCGGGTCTGTACCTCATAGCATTGAAAGAATAAAAGCCTGAAACTCTCTGTAGGGAACAGGAAGTGTAAAAAGTGGTTTAGGGTTTAAAAAGAAACATAAAATGTCAAGAAATGAAAAATACAATAGTCAGGCCTGGGGGTTTGGCTCAGTGGTAGAGTACTTGTTAGCATGCATGAGGCCTGGGGTTATATCCCCAGCACTGCCAAAATACATGTGTATGTAAATATATATGTTTATATATAAAGTAACCAAAGTATTTACAATAAATAGTTTAGCAGTTGACAGACAAAACCCAGGAGGGGATTAGTAAACTGGAACATTCACCAATGATCTCCTCAGAGATCACTGAATGTACAGCACAGACAGAGGACATAGTACGCTGGGTGTGTTTGTGTGTGTGGGAGAGCTGTTAAGAGATTCAGAATAGAGCAGGGTTCCTGAAAGGTCAGCCAGAGTCCAGAGAGGGGACAGTGACAGTACTGGGAGAATGACATGACCACCCCCATCCACCACCACCACCCCCCCCCCCCAGTCCAGAGCCCTGGACAGCACAGGCTCTGCACAGAGCTTTGCAAGGTGAATGAGAAGAGTCCTAAAAGCAACCAGGGGAAAAGACTGCTACCAACAGAACTATGACCCAGCAGCTGACTCCATAGCAGTGGCCTGTGCTGGAAGAAAGTAAGCCATTGAGCCAGCTGGGTCCTGGCTCTGCTGCCCAGCAGCCAGCAGCTGCCTACGTGGCTGTCAAACCATACCTGATACCATTGAGCCCCCGGCTCCTCAGTGGCACAGACCTCTCTCAGGCACTTACTTGGAGGCACATGAAGTAGTGGCCTCTGTTGGGCCGTGTAGATTGAGAACGTTTGTATCTAGTCTTCAGTTTTCAACATGATTGTCTTTAGAAAGCAGTTGTAGAAGATGAAAAAGCCACTTTATCATGACAAACAGTTTAGCTAGGAAGGTACAATAGCAGCGTAGCATTAGAATATGTAAAGAAAATAAACATGAGCAAAGTGGGAGACTTTTTTGGGGGGGGTACTAGGGATCAAATCCAGAACGTGGTGTGTGTAGGGCTGACCCTTGAAGTGCATGTCAATAATTCTGCATCCCAGGTACAAAGCAGAACCTAGCTTGTATTTCTGTCATATAGTACGGTGACAGCCCCAGCTGTACTTGTACTTTTCCTTCCTTGTCCTTTCATGAGCACTCAGGGAGTGGCACCCGTGACCTGTGTTCCCCACCCTGAGCTTGTCCTTGCTGTGGCTTAGGCGGTGGAGTCCATCCAGGCCGAGGACGAGAGTGCCAAACTCTGTAAGCGCAGGATCGAGCACCTCAAGGAGCATAGCAGTGACCAGCCAGCAGCGGCCAGCATGTGGAAGAGGAAGCGCATGGACCGCATGATGGTGGAGCACTTGCTGCGCTGTGGCTACTATAACACGGCTGTGAAGCTGGCACGTCAGAGCGGCATTGAGGTGAGCCCGCCCTGCTCGCTGCGTGTCTGTGTGGGGGCTGTCCAGTCCCAAATGCGTTTCACCCGACCGGGCTCATGTCCATGCTGTGCCTAGTAGTTTTCTCTTCGAGGGCCAGAGCAGTGACTCCACGTACTCCTTACTGGCCTTCAGTAGTTTAACGGGGTTCTGATTAGGGAAAGTAAGGAAAGAGCCTGTGCTCCCGGTACTTGACTTCCTATGGTTCCTTCCATTGCCTGCTGAGTACTGTGGGTTTCCCAGGAGTCTGGCTTTACTGGCTTCAGCATTCTGGTACAGAGATGAGCACCAACTGCCCGTGGGGCATTTTTAAGCTTCCAAAGGAAGGCTGCTGGTGGTCTTGGAGGCATTCCTGGTGCAGGGTAGGGTCTGAATCCTGTTACTGTGTTGCCCCTCAACTTGGTCTTCATGGACTGTCTAAACCTGTGGCTGAGGCCTTGCTGCTGTCAGTCAGTCATCCACATAGTGAAGCCCACAGCAGTCAGAAACTCTTAGACCATGGTGTGTGCTCCTCCTGGTCCCAGTTCACATCCTCTCCATTGGTGCACAGACTCAACATGACCCGATTGAAGGCGATGTCCAGGTTCCACCTTCCCTAAAGCAGCATCATTCAGAAAGCTCTCAATGCAAGACCTGTGCAGACAGCAGTGAGCCTTCATGGCCTGTGTCAGGCCTTCCTCAGCCTCTCCCAGTTCCCAGCTGCTCTGTCCTCATCTCAGCCACCTCTTTAGGCTGCCGTGACCTCTCTCTCGTGGTCCCTTCTCTTCCCTGCTTTAATCCTACCCATGTGTGAGGTTCCCACCTGGACTGAGATGAGCCTCAGGCTTGGCAACTCTAAACCCTGGCCCGAGACTCCCAGGTCCTAGCCTGAAGCATGGTGTCAGTGCCATGCTCATTCCTTTGCAGGTGTCTGCAGCCCTGCCCTCTGCTTCTATGGTGCTTTCTGGTTCCCCACTCTGACTGCATCAGTCTCATGGTCGGACTCAGCCCCAGGCCTCACAGGAGCCTCCACCTGGGCTCTTGACATCTGCTCTTGGCTATCCTCCCTGCCACACTCTTAACTCTTAACTCTCCATCAGGCTGGCCTCTGAGCAGGCTAAGCTGGGCCCTGCTCTTCAACCCCTGTGGCCCCACCAAGCATTTCAACTCAGCCCATGACCCTGCTTTTCCTGAGCACAGAGCTACCGCTGCTGTCTCCAACCTATCGGATGTTGGCTCACTAAATGCCAAGTCTGCAGGGCAGCCTCCCTGACCACCCCAGGAGAAATGTCACCCTCCCTCATCTTTCCTAGCTTGCTCCCTTGAGCTTCCCTACCCATGACCTTGTCAGTGGAGGAGTAAAACCAATGAATGGCGAACAGAACCATGCACTGAGACCCAGAAATGGGGAGGGTGGAACCATGCACTGAGGCCCAGATTGCATGGCCAGGAAGGTTGTGATAGAGCCATAGGGCCAGGTTCTAGCTCAGCCCTGTCTAATCCATGTCTTTCTCAATTAGCAGCTTGGGGTCTGTGTGCTTGTATACACAGGATGGGTCTCTTGATGTTGCTGCCCCAACAGACCAGCCAGCCACTCATCCTACCCTTTGCTTCTGCCCTCAGCCTTGGTACTGGTGATAAGGATGTGGCACTGTGGGAACTCAGTGGGGCCTGTGTGGCTCACCCGCTCACCCAGAAGGGAAAGACTGGGTTCACAGGCCATACGAGGTTGGAGGCACTGAGGAAGGTGTGGGTGCCCCTGTTCACTGTAACCACTGAGGACCACTGGATAGAACTGTCTTGATCTAAGCCTGGCCAGTGCCGGTGAGGCCCACAGGAGGCAAGATAGGTCAGCATTCTTGATAGAACGAGCCAGCCTGAGTCAGTAGCATGCCCACTTAACCAGCAGGTGGTGGGGGTCGGGTACCGACTGCTTTCCTGCAAGGAAGTGGTCACCAGAAATGGTCACTGCAGGTAGACAGTAAGCATCTAGCCTCTGCCCATCACGTGGGGAGTTGCGATGCTGAGCCTATGCATCGCCTCATTTTTTTCTTTTAATTTTCTTGTCATGGGTGTTAACTGGTGCAGTACTAGCCATAATGCTTTACTCACTTGCTGTTTGTCTTGAGATGGGAAAAGGAGGAGTCTGACTTTATTGTGACTGCTTTTGTTTAAAGTAGGTATCTTAAGTTGTGTTCCAGACAGACTCCTCCCAGTCATGGCTCTGTTCATGGCTCTGCCTACAGGTTTCATTCCCTCCTCCTGCCCCTTGGTCCTTGTGTGTGTGCAGCATCTAGTGGTTCAGGATGTGATGCTGACTGGGACACTGTTCACAGGGCCTCAGCATGAGGGCATCAGGTACCCTGTGGATCGGCCAGAGTATACTGGGCAGGGCTCAACTGGGGTGTTCTACTCACTACTTGAGAAACTAATTTTTTTTTTTTGCAGTGTTGGGTTTGGGGCAGGCACTCTGTCTTTGAGCCATTCCTCCAGCTAATTTCTTTTAAAAATAGACTAATGAATTTTTAATCCATATTTTTGTTAAAATATAACCTAGGATTAAATTCTCAGTTTAAATTAGACTAAATAGAACTCTGTTATCAACCACTAAATGGATTTAGCTTGACAGTGTTTGTTAAGTGTCTGGTCACCTGCTTTCATCCTTTTTCTTTGCTAAATTCATTCTGTCCTAGTTTTCACTCAAATATCACTTTTCAGGATCAATATACTTGAGTAATTATTAAGCCTGTTTGGAAATTTCCAAATCTTTTTTTTTTTTTTTTCATTTAGATTCAGTTAGTTAATTTTGTTTGTTTGTTTGTTTCATTGTTGTACTGGGGGTACATTGTGACATTTACAAAAGTTCTTACAATATGTCAGAGTTGAATGCTCCCCCTCCATTATTTTTCTTTATTCCCCCTGCCCCCATTCCTGGAATAGTTTCAATACGTCTCATTTTTCCATTTTCAGGCATAAGTACATAATATTTCTACTAAAATCACCCTCCTATACCCTTTCTTTATATCCTTCCCCCTCCCACTGGTACCAACCCCCCAGACAGGACCTGTTTTACCTTCCTGTTCTCCATTTTTGAAAGAAGACATTTTTTGTTTGTTTAAGATAGCTATATTGGGAGTTTAATTGACATTTCCGTGTATATAGTATTATAACCTGAATTGGTTCGTCACTTCTATTTTTTCTCCTTTCTACCTTAGTCCCCTTCTTATGGTGATTTCAGCAGGTTTAAATGTTCTATATTCATCTTTGTATAGTGAGTACATCAACCATAGTCACCTTTTTAACTCCCTTTTTTTACCCTCCCTCTCCCATTAGTGATCTCCCCTTAGTGTGACTTGATTTTTATAGTATGAGTTTTTCCAATTCTTAAAATTTGTTTTCACTACACATTCCAAAGAACTACTTATCTCACTTTTTAAATTATTACCATTACATTCCACAAAGAGCCAATAAAAGTGGTTTATTTCTCTAAAATGAAAGATGAGGATATTCACTGACTTATACTAATTACTTAGTGAAAGTACATCAAAATGGCTCATTCCCATGTTCTTCACTGAAATTATAATAAACTACCTCTTGTCATTTCATGCTCACAAGACTTTTAAGTCATCACAGTAGCTGCTCACAACTTGTTTGCTTTCTAGATGCTTCACATTTCAATGTCTGTACAAAGAAAATCCAAACATACTTTCCTTCACTAAAAACATTACAAGAGGCTGAAAGGCATTGAGGATTTACCTAAAAATATTACAGGAGGATAAAAGGCATTGAGACCTTAAAAACAGAGTGTATTTAAGTTACAAAATAGCTTCCATTCTGTGGCATAGCTTCAAGTTAAGTGCATCATAAATAAATTAACTGGGTACTACTCCATTCATCAAGCCAGACTTTATTTTCCATCAGGGCTCTTATTTGAGATTTCTGTTCCTTTTAAACTACATAGAAGTTGCCCAAGACTGCATGTGGTCCTCAGTTTTTGCTCCACTGGTGATAGAGGCCATTATTTTTCACTGAGGGACATGTGTGAAGATGGCTTTTTATAGTTAATTAATGAGCAAATCCTCAATGTCCAAAAAGTAAGCATGTCTTCAGTTGGCATATTTTTGGACACAGGGATCAATTCTAGTTTGTCTTTTGAGTATTTTGGGATTAGAGAGGTAAGATTCTTCCCATATTTTTGAAAGCGATTTCTTTAGAGACTAGTAATTGTTGCTAGTAGCTTGTAAATTGAAGTCTGATTTTAGAATAGTCTCTTTTGTGTTTTTTCTGGAGTCTGTTCCAGGTGGGAGAGAAATTTAGTTTTTGAAATTTCCATGTTTTTCAGATACTCTCCCTTGCCTTTCTCATGGCATTCACATGTCCCCTTGTGTCGAATGCTTGCTCTTGCTGGACTCTGCCATTGGGGGTCCTTGGCCCTTTGAGCTCCAGAGCTCGGCAGATATGGCTGTCATTAGGCCCTTACCAGAGAGCACAGTTGGAGGAGGAGCAGGAAGCCCAGCATCTACTTCCACTGCCCTCTCCAAAAGATCGCGTTTTCAGAACAAAGCAAAACAGAACACGAGATTGTGGGCTGCTTGGGGTCTCGGCTCCATGAAGAGCTGAGGTGGGAATGGGCTTTGGCTCCCTCAGGGCCCTCAGGGTTCTCACTTACCTGTGCATCTTGCCCGTGCTTGGCCAGTTGCTCTATGTGAGCACACTCTAGATGTTCTGCCCTGGTCGTGTGGACCCTGCCTCATGGCACTGTTAGGTGAGTGTCACCTGACACCCTGGCCAGCCTCAGTGCTCATCTCAGCCTCCGGTGCTGCAGAAATGGTGTTGTATCCTCTACTGTGGGCTCTCTGGCCCTTGTCCATGTGTATGAATCTGCTATTCTTATGGTTTAGGTGTGAGCCTGGACCTCTGGCTGCAGTGGGGGAACACGGGCCAACTGCCTCTGCTTATGGGGCACAGGTGCAAAGGGTTCCCTTGAGTTAAGTGTGTTGTGACCTGAGCTGCCCCTTCCCCTAAGGACCTGGTGAATATCGAGATGTTCCTGACAGCCAAAGAAGTGGAGGAGTCCTTGGAGAGACGTGAGACAGCCACCTGCCTGGCCTGGTGCCATGATAACAAGTCCCGGCTCCGGAAGATGAAGGTGCGGGGACTTCCCTGGGGTGTGGGGACTCCCTAGGATGTAGTTCCTGGTAGGGACAGGACTCCCTGGAGTGAGGAGCAAGGTGGAGTGGAAGTAGCACCACCCTCACCTGCTCATGGTTCTTTATTTTGGTTTTGGTTTGTGAGGTGGGGTTGTGGAGTTCAAGGTGGGGTTTGATGTGATTTTGGTTGTGGGGTGTCGCTCTTAGGTAAAAACCCTGAGGAATGGCCTCCTTCCATTGTCCTGAGCACAAGGTTCAGAAAGAGTGAGGTTTGGAGCTCTGCTGTGCATGTGGTATGTCAGGGGCTGCTGCACTTGGTGTCGGGGTGGGCCTGTGGACTCCCCACTCAGGCATGTCAGAGAGTGCTACAGGAGGCCATTGCCCCAGCAGGCTGCAGAGCTCTGGGCTGTGGTATTCTATTGAATACACACTTTCCAGAGACCACAGAGGCTTTAAAAATACCCTAGAGCAGAAACCACAGAACTTAACCCTGCTCTGCTCACTATGAGATGATACTGTCCTTGGACTTGCAGAAATGTGCTAGCTTTTGTGAACACCCTGCCTCTGAGAAAAACTGTGTTCTGTTTTCTAAGATTAGTGCTGCTTCACCCACCTGCTATGCTTGTCAGGTCACAGTAGTCACAAGCCAAGAGTGATACTGTCTGCCACTCAGGGTCACCAAAGTGAGCACAAGGCAAAGATGGGTGAAAGAGTAGCTCTTGTGGCTCCAAAGAGAGTGAGAAGTTTGGTATGGAAACCCTAAAAGGAAAGCCAGAATTGGTTTGTAACACTCAGCATGCTGCATACCTGTACCTTCACTTCCTCCTAGAGAACACGTATTGGGCTGTGTTATGTATGGCATCTGTGATCTCTGCAAGTCCCAACCCTGCCAGGCCATGGGTGGAAGCTCCTGGGTAGGCTGAGAGGGATGGGTGCTGAATGGGTGCTCAGCAGGTGAACAGTGCCTCTGTGTCTGAGAGGCCAGGGTAGAAGGGAACATCGCAGCTGTCCAGAAACACATCATGAAGATGCCTGAAGATACAGGAGCCTGCCGTCACAAAACATCAGCTGAGACAGAATGTGCAGTTGTCTGTGCAGTCTACATGCATGGATATATGGGAGGGGAGGTTAGTGCACACTGTGCACTGATCTCTCAGGTCAGAAACATGAGGATCTAGATGGGAAGAGAAACTTTTGAGACACAAGTTTCAGGCTTTGAAAATAGCTCAAAATAATGGACTACCAAGTTAACTTCTGTTGTCTTGACTCAGTCTCTAGACCCTACAGGACACTGAAGCAGCAATTTTGGTGCCTGGTGTCTAGAAGTCACATGGAGTGATAGGCGCAGAGGCTGCAGCCTTTTGCAGAGTGCATGGAGTGGCCAGTACACATCTATGTGACTAGACTACAGATTCAAGTCTGAAGACCTGATTTCTTTTACATATATGCACTTATGTATTAGTGGACTATTGAAAGTTAACCTGAGCCATCACTGGTAGCTCATGCTTGTATTCCTAGGTACTCAGGAGGCAGAGATGAACCAACCACTGGTAAATAGTTCACAAGACCCTGTCTCGAAAATACCCAAATAGGGCTGGCAGAATAGCTTAAGTGGTTGAGTGCCTATCTAGCAAGCATGAAGCTCTGAGTTCAAACCCCAGTACCACCAAAAAAAAAAAAAAGCGTTCACCTGTTACAGCAAAGGACAATCCTAAATGAAGACAAGTTTGAGAATATATATTTTGCAAACCAGTCAGCTAGAGTTTGCCCAAAATGTTACTCTTTTAAGATGCCCACACAGTGGCTCCTTCCTTCTCTTAGCCATGACACCTGTTGTTGTAGGTAGTCCCCAGGGGGAAGGCAGGGCACAAGGAAAATGGGCCTTCTATGGGAGGATTCTCCCTCGGCCTCTACTGCCCTAGCTTTGAAGGGATCAGAGGGCCCACCATCAACTGTCCACTTATCAGTGGACCCAGGTCACTCCCAGGGAGCCCTGGGTAAGCTGTCCTCTTTACTGGTTGTACCAGGCCTTCTACTCAGAGTCAAGACTGCTTCTGCCCTGACTTGAAATGGGTTGTGAGTTTTGCCTCTAGACTGCAGCCCACTTGCTCAGCTTGGGTGCAGAGAGGGGGCATTGGGTACAGGATGGGGAAGGAGTGGCTAGAGACCCCTCACCTCTGCCCTGTCACTCCTCTGTCAGAGTCACTGCAGGTGCTCCTGTGTGGTGGCACTGTGTCAGTGGAGCAGGATCGTGGCACCAGTCAGGTGTGGCTGGGGTAGAGCCAGCTCTGCAGGGCCCAGGAAGAGACAGTCCCTAACAGAACTTGCTGAAGAGTCTGAGTGTGAAAGTACATACAATTGGGAAACTTGAGTTTAAGGTTTAGACATTCGGAGTTGGTTTATTTATTGCCACATGGGATTCTGTTTATGCCATGGAGTTAGAGTGAAGTTCCTGTTCGTGGAGTGCTGAGTGTCCTGAAGCCATCCTGGAAGGCTTAGCATTTTGACACTCATTTGTGTAGAAGAAGCAGCTTTCCCTCTGAGGTGACGGCACTTAACACCGTCTGCTGGCCTTACCCAGTTACAAGAGTTGCAGCCCACTTTGGATCCATGCTGCTGGTTTCAGTGCCAGCTCCAGTCTTCGATGCAGACTGCACCCACCTATGAGCTCTGTACTGTTCCCAAATTACTTCAGCACTGGACAGGCACCTGCCAGATCTTTGTCCCCAAGCCAACCCATCCTCCTACCATGGGGCATGGAGCCCTCCTTCCTGCAGTACAAACCCCAGACCTCTCTCACAGCTTCAAAAATCTCAGGTCTTCTGCCCTTCGTTGGAACCACTTGTAAATCAGGACATCTCCACTTGGTTCTGGCCAACCTGAGCCTTAAGGTCATGACAGGAGTCTTAGCATCCTTGGGATTAGCACCTCCTGCTCCAGGCACCACCTGCCCCCGGGCCTTTGTACTGGCTCCTGCTTCTGCCTGGAATCCCCAGAATCTTTCCAGCCCCTATACTCATACATGTTTGCCCCTGTATTCCCTGTCAATCCTCTGAGGTGTCAACTCTGACCCACCCAGCACCCACTCATTGGGTCACTGTCTCCTCTCACTAGGCTCCAGTGTCTCTCGGAAAAGCAGTTTGTCTGAGTTCTCCCAGAACAGGTCCTGACACGGGCAACACCTTGCTCACACTCTTGGAGCAATCAGACAGTGCTGTGAGTGGGGACAGTTGGGAGGAAATGAGTTTAGGGGAAGAAAATTTCATGGTGCTTACAAATGTAGGACCTTGATGATGACAGGTGAGACCTAGAAAGGCCTTTTGCCCTTGTGAGGAACTGGCAGTTTTTTCCATGTGCCCTGTGAGCTGGCAGTGGCCTCTGGCTACTGCCCTCCTTGTTGGCGCTTTTTCACAGGAATCTCTTCTGTGCCTTCTGCCCTTCCAGCAGAAGGGCCGACCTCCTAGGTGTGTCCTCAGGGCCATTGCCTTTGAATGCTCACCATGGCTGCCTTGGAGAAGGGGCGGAGGAACAGGTGGCAGGGCCTGTTGGAACCTGTGAGTCCCTACACCCAGGTGCCTGGTGCCACTGAAACACAGCGCTGTCTAAGCTCTCCCCTTGTCTTTGCTCTCAGAGCTGCCTGGAGTTCAGCCTCAGGATTCAGGAATTCATTGAGCTCGTTCGGCAGAACAAGCGCCTGGATGCTGTGAGGTAGGAGATCATGCCACATGTGTGGTTTCTCATGGGAGGACCGGATGCTCTACTGCTCCTCTCCTCTTGCTCCATCCTGGTGCTGGAGATGGAAGCATGGGTGTTGGGGGTCTTCCAGAACCAGCTTCACCTTGCTGCACCCAAGCAGGGAGTCCTGCTTCCCTGCCCCACACGGAACCACAGGCCAGAGCCCAGACCCCCATGGCTGTCGGGGGAGCCAATACTGGCATCACAACCATCCACGTAAACCTGTGGATAGGGCTCTGAATCCTATCTTCCCATATAGGAAAGTGTCATTAGCTTCTGGTAGCAGGAATGCCCTGATGGGGTTGGTCCTTGATCAGGTCAAGGATCTTTAGCCTGGGGACTTCTCTTGGTGGACATCTGGAAGAATGCTGGCCAGGAAGACCTGAGGGCATTCTGAGGCACATCTGGGCTCTGTGGCCCATATCTGATCCAAGGGTGCTGAGAGCTGCAGCTGGTGGCCCACAGCACAGCATAGCTGGGCATAAGGATGGGGAGGCTGGTTGTCTTGCCTAATGAGCCTCATTTGGATGCACTGTGTTGACCAACCCCCTCCTTTCCCCCAAGCAACCCTGTGAAGCCTTCCTGTTGCCTGGTCAAGCCTGGGGGTTCAGTCCATGCAGGCTGCACGTGTGGCAGCTCCTTGAGCACAGCATCTTCTCTCTCCAGCTTCACCAAGGCTCCTGCTCAGTTAAACCTGGAGTTGGGAGCAGGGAATGCAATGTGGGCAGAGCCCTGCACTGGGCCCGTGACAGGATGAGCTACTACACGCCTGTACATGTGCTGAGCTGGCAGGCATTGCTCAGTGCCAGCCCAGGAGCATGTATGCCAGGATATCTGGCAGCTTCCCATGCCTCCCTGGAGCAGCCTGGGTGGGTAGCCCAGGAGTCTGCCCACGAGGACTCCAGGGTAGGAACAGGAACCTCAATGAAGTGCTAAGCCCCAAGGGGTGTGCTGGCATGCGGCCAGTCTGCACAGTCAGGCCCCTCTCTCTGGTTCCCAGTGCCTGTGCTGGGTGCACCGTAGATGGGAAGATAGGGCTGGGTCTGTGTTCCTACTCAGTCCAAGAGCCAGCCAGGAGGAGGATCTCTGGCCCTGGCACAGTTGAGCAGGCACTATGTGTGCCAGGCTGCTTCTCTGAGGTGCAGATGTGATGGGGGCAGAAGTGACTGGCTTTATGTGGGCCTTACTCTGTCGTACTTCCTGTTCCATTCCGCGTTGGCCTTGACGCTTATATCCACAGGATGACATCTACTGGGCCATGGCCTTGCGCACTTCTCTCTAAGGACCTCAGCTGCCTCATTAGCCCCAGTGTCTGAGAACAGAGGTCCTCTCCATGCTGCCTGGGCTGGGCACCCCCTCCGTATCAGGCAGGCAGCTGTCAAGTGGTGGGAGAAGACTCATGCTGCCTCCGTCTTGTGATTCTGGAGGCAGAGCCCAGAGCTGTGCCTTTGTGGCAAGTAGGTGGGCACTACTCCCCAGTGGACCTTGGCCCCTGCTGGGGGACTACTCCCAGCAACATGTGTTCCTTCTCTGTCTCGGTGCTGCTGTGTGTTGTGTGAAGCCTCAGCCCCCAGCCTATGCCTTGGCCCTAGAGTGTCAGGCTCTGCTATAGGGGTGGATGCAGCTGGGTGTTGCTGAGTGCCTATGCTGTGCCTGGCATGGGGCACGGCTGGCTAAGGGGCTCTGTGCTTCTTGGGTGGCCTGGGCATGCCCTCCATAGATGCCTGGGACATCAAGATGTGTACAAGCAAATGAAGCAATGTCTCATTTTGGTGGTATCAAGTTTCACTGCAGTCTGAAATAGCATACCAGAAGTGTTGAGTGACTTTTAAATGCTATGTTTTCCCAATTGTCTTACCATAAGCAGGTATAAGAAAAATGACAAAGCTGTTTCTCTTTTGTGAGAGGCAAATTGAGTCACCAGTGAAACCTGTATGGAGTGAGGTTAGAGCAGGATTTGGAACTTGCTTTGGGCTGGACCAGGGCCTAGGTGGGAAGATACACAGTGCAGGCTTGCAGTTGAGAGACAAGCAGGGACCTCTGTTGGCAGGTGTCTGGATAGGGCCAAGAGTTGGAGAAAAGGGCCTTGTCCTCCAGGCTGGCTTTCCAGAAGGGTGGGGGTGAGGGGGCTGAAGATGGTGGGCATTGATAGGACCCGTACAGGACTTGGGAGCTAGGTTTCCAAGTGGGAAAATGGAGCAGTGGGGCAGTGTCCCCAGGGCTCAAGACTGAGCCATCAGGCTGTGTCAGGTGAAGAGCACCTTTGGCCAGATCAACGCTGGAATGCTATCCTGCCCAAGGCTGAGATAGGCTCACCCAGGACCCCTCTGGTGGGTCAGGAGAGGGTGGAGACCTGAGTCTAGGAGGGGTATCCTGGACCCAGCTAGGACCTCACTAGCTGCTGGGGCTGTAGCTCCTTCCCACTTCCTGCACTCATGAGCCTGAAAGCCAGTGCTGCAGTGACTGCGAACAATTCTATTATTAATTTATTGTGGTGCTGGGGTTGAACCCAGTGCCTCGAGCATACTAGGTAGGTACTCTACCACTGCATTATATCTAAAGACCTTATTTATTTTTTAAGAGATGGGGTCTCGCTGTGTCACCCAGTCTGGTCTTGAACTCCCAGTCTCAAGCAATCCTCTGGCCTCAGCCTCCTGAGTAACTGGGAATGTAAGGGTAGGCTACCATCACTGGCAGCATTTTTAAATTTAATTTAATTTTTATTTATTCATTTTGCTCTATTGGGGTTTGAACTCAGGGCCTCACGCTTGCTAGGCAGGTGCTCTATCAGTTGAGCCATGCCCCCTGCCTTTTTTGCTTTAGTTATTTTTCAGATAAGGCCTCATGTGTTTTCACCCAGGGCCAGCCTCAGAGTGAGGTCCTCCTACCTGTGCCTTCCCAGAAGCTGGGATCACAGGCATGTAGTACCACACCTGACTTTTATGTTGAGGTGAAGTCTTGTTAACTTTTTGCCCAGACTGACTTTGGATCACAGTTTTCCTGATACCCACCTCCTAAGTAGCTGGGATTGCAGGTGTAATCCACCAAGCCTGGTCTGGCATTTTAAATCTTCAATGAATGAATAAGCCAAATGCCAGGTCAAAGTGCCGGGGAGTTGGCCTTTACCAGGTGCTCTGTGTGAAGTGGGCCTGTGTCATTTTACTGAACATCTGCATCTCAGCCTGGCCCGGTAAAGTTTAGGGATTTAGGCTTCTGGGTGTTTTTTTACATTTGTTTATGTTTTTAAAGGAAAGCTAGATGCATCGTATGTTAGCTTTTCATCGCTGTGACAAATACCTGAGGTAAACAATTTAAAAGGAGAAATGATTTATTTAGGGCCATGATTTCAGATGTTCTGCCCATGGTCAATTGTTAACCATTGCTTTGGGTCCGTGGTGAGGCAGAACATCATGGTGAGGACCTCCTGGTTGGTAGGGAAGCAGAGAGAGAGGGGAGGGGCCACATCTCACTATCCCCTTCAAGGGCATGAGTCCATTGACCTCACTTCCTCCCATAGACCCCACCTCCTCCCCATAGGCTGGGCCAGCCTTCAACACATGGCATTGAGGGACATTCCAGACCCAAGCTCTCCATTCATTAACCGCAAATCAGTTCCAGTGTCCTGGGTCTAGGATGTCAGGCTCAGACCCACCTGCTCACAACTCACAGGCATCCATCTACATCCCAGGTGTCAGAGTCCTGGTTGTCCTAACCTCACTGCTCACCACTTACCCATTTGGTGGAGAGCTGTATGGACTCTCTTGGGTGTGCTTAGAACCTGGGCACCTTTCCTGCTTCCTCTGGCCTCACTAACCCCCTTGCCTGCTGCCCCCTTAGAGCTGCGGCCTCATGGCCACCTTGCTGTTTCTCAGAGACTGCTTGGTGACGTCCAATGCTGACTCCAGTCTCTGTAGACACCATATTCTTTCCCACCCCCAGGCTGCTGTGAGGGCCTGGGTTCTCCTGGCTCCATATTCTTGGCTACACACCTTCGTTCTGCTATGTCATTGGCCCCAGGGTAGAGTTTCAGGGGAGTGAGCCTTGAGCGCAGAGAACGTGCCATGGATTGAGGGCATGTGTGAGGGCAGCCAGTGGGGCAGCAAGCCTCAGGGCCCATGGCCTGGGGAGAGGTGTATGGCTGAGGCCCTAAAGTGAGCAGATGCCACTGGGTGGCCAGGAAGAGAGTGGCTCTGCTCTTCCTTGCTCTGACTTTGGTCAGCTCTGACTTTGGTCAGGGGCTGGCTGTGTATGGGAAGACCATGGTGCATGTTTGCTTACACACACAGGGCCAAGTGACTGGGCAGCTGGCCATGGAGGTCATCCATGGGACTGAGTTGCTAGTGTATGGGTGTATGGAATGTGAGCAGCGGGGCAGTCTGGAAGCTGGCCATGGGGATGAGCTTCCAGGGCAATTGGAGTTGTTCTGGAGGCCTGGGTGGCACACCAGTCCTAGGGAACCCCTGCAGGCCCTGACCAGTAGAGCTTCTCTGGTAGTGGCTCCCTTTGTGCTCAGTTCTGACAGGGACTATTAGTGTGGGTCCTTAAAGTTGAAAATACAAACTTAACCATGCCAACTGTTTTTTTAGACATGCAAGAAAGCACTTCAGTCAGGCTGAAGGGAGCCAGCTGGATGAGGTCCGTCAGGTCATGGGCATGTTGGCCTTTCCGCCAGACACACACATCTCCCCGTACAAGGTAATGCCTGCACCCTCCTCCAGGTTCCTGTTGGCTCTCAGAATCAAGGGTCCTGTGGGGTGGCTTATAGGATGTTGCCAGCTCCTGAGGGCCTGTCTGTCCTTGCTGCCTTGAGTGTGATATGAGGAGTGTCCTGCAGTTACCTGACCCAGGCAGCCCAACCCGGAGGAACCTGTTCTGCTTTACTCCTGTTCTGCTGATGAAACATTTGGGTCAGAAGGTTCAGGAGGCTTTAGCCTGGCAAACTTGGTTCTGCTCCCTCACCTCCCGCCCCATCACTCCTTCATCTTCTCTTCGTATAGTTCCTTAGTCACATGTAACAGAAGGGCATGTCTTCTGCTCTGCTCTTACCAGTGTCCTTGCTGTCTTTGTAACCTTGGAGCTCTGGGTCTCCAAGGCACTGGTGGTTCTTGGTAGTGATCTTTTCTTTAGCCATTCCTGGTCTTTATCCTTGGCATCAGGCTCACTGGCAGGTCTGCTGCCCACAGCCCTCCCCCTATGGAAGGAGGGGGGCTATGAAAAGGCCCAGCAGAGGATGTGTTTATGTGTTGTCAATCACCAGAGCCCAGTGTGCTGATCCAGGGCTTACCCAACCAGGGCACTGCTCCTAGCCCTGAACAAGTGACTGATGACTTTTGCATGCAGTGTGGGGCATCTTCTAGCAAACTGCCATCAGGTCACAGAGACATCAGGTGTTGAGCCTAAACTTTTCACATCTCAAATTTGTGTCTGAGGTGTTTCTTCCTGGTCTGAACAGAGTTTGGTTTTGGGGTGAGACATTTGACTCTCCTCCTTTCGGGGGCTTCATAGTGTTGGAGGAGTGAGGTGAGTCCTGCTGTCCCAGCTCCTCAAGCACAGGGAGAAGCCCCTGTCCCATGTGGGGATCCCAGCATCAGCTGTGTCTGCCTGCTTACTGGCATCAAGGCCAGCTGGGTGACAGTTTCCTGTCACTGATGGTCAGAGTCTGTGATGTGATAGAGAAGGTGAGCGCGGTGGTGCGTATTGGATACTGTGAGGAAAGTACAGAACAGGGCCCTCGTTAGGTTCCACAGTTGTCAGACTCAGCAAAGGCCTCCTGTGGCAGAAAGTTGAAGGGTACAGCTAATGGGTAGAGCGAGACAAGGAGGAATCTTTCCTTTTGTTCAAGGTGGTGGCTATAAAAGCAACCTGAATGCAAAGGTCCCTGGGGGCAGGAATTGTTCCTTCATTGAGACCCTCTTGGACTGTGGTCCTATCCAATAGGCTCTACTTTCATAAGATTCATATTGAAAACAATATATGTTTAAAAGGTTGAAGTTGGACTGGGAGCATAGGTCAGCTGGCAGAGCACTTGTAAGGCCTTGGGTTCAAACCCCAGTACTGGGGGAAAAAAAGTTGGAATTTTGCTGTTTAGCCTAAGACTGTCAGAGGAGAGCCTAAGACTGTCACAGAGATGGCCGGCACCCTGGAAACCACCTTCCCTCTTCAGGATGGCAGCCACCTTCTCTGGGCCCTTCAGGGCTGGTGTTAAGGTTTCACCTCCTTTTACACATACTCTGTCTGTCTTGTCTGTTTGTCTCTCAAATGTTGTTCTGTGGTATGAGGCTTGAGGTGCAGGGGCTACTGTCTGCCTGGTGTTGCTGCTCTGCACCTTGCTCTGAGCCCCATCCGATTGTTCACTCATACTTAGATCTTTCAAAAGATTTATAAGCAGGGAACATTCCAGAAAGTTAAGCAGTGGTATCATGCAGTGATGTTAAGTGAGGGCTTGACAGCACCTTCTGGGCTATCCTTCAGCTCAGGAGGGTGTGGGTCAGCAAGGGCTGGAGGCAGCCTAACACCTGCCTCCCACAGCACACTGTGTTCACCGTTCCTGGTGGTCTCCCTCGGAGCTGCCTGGAGAGGGGCTCAGTAGTGACACCTTGTCTCTTCCAGGACCTCCTGGACCCGGCGCGGTGGCGGATGCTCATTCAGCAGTTCCGCTATGACAACTACCGACTGCACCAGCTGGGGAACAGCTCCGTGTTCACACTAACACTACAGGCCGGCCTCTCAGCCATCAAGACACCGTATCCTCCCACTCCACCAAGTGGTGTGCAGCTCCTTTCCATGGTCACTTTTTGGCAGACTAGCCCTCCCCGTACTGTCCTATCTGCTGTGTTCCACCATATGAGGATTGAGCTGTCCCCATGCTGTGTTTGCACAGTGTTGACGCTGCTGGGTGAAAGTTAAGAAGGGCTGTACGCAGCAGCACTGTCTTCACCTGGTCTCTTGCCTGTGTAGAGGTGGACTGAACGTTGGCTCTCCAGCTCAGGGTCTTTCCTTTACTTCTCAGGTTGGATCATGAAATGGTCATGTCTCTGACAAGGGGATAACCTTCTCAACAGAGAGCAGGGACAACTAATACCTCCTCATCCAGATTGGCAGACCCTGTCCCTGCATGTGACTGACCTCATCCTTGCCCCTGCATGTGGTTTGGTCCTGTCCCTATGTGACTTCCTGGGAACGCTGCTGGTGCTGGCTGTGTTGTGCTCTGTGCTGAGGCCTTACTCTCTGCCTGCACATTGGAGAGGAAGCACTTGCACGCTGCCTTGTAGGGCCCGCCACACACCGCTGTTTCAGGCACTGCCCTGTTCTCCTAGGAGGCTGGGGCTGTGGAGGTTGCTGGAATCCCACTGGGGTGTATTCCTGGAGGCAGTGTCAGGGTGGTTTCTGTCCCAGGTCAGGTCTCAGTGGCTGTAGAATATAATATTCTCTTCCCCTTAAACATTAATGAGTCACAGTGCGCCTGCCTGTCGCACCCCGCTGACCAGCAGCCCAGCCATCCTTAACCCCATGTACAGACAGTGCTATAAGGAAGATGGCAGCTCCAAGAGCCCTGACTGCCCTGTGTGCAGCCGCTCCCTGAACAAGCTGGCCCAGCCCCTGCCCATGGCCCACTGCGCCAACTCCCGCCTGGTCTGCAAGATCTCCGGCGATGTGATGAACGAGAACAACCCGCCCATGATGCTGCCCAATGGCTACGTCTATGGCTACAACGTGAGGGGCCCAATGGGCTGGGGCCTCGGGGGGGGGCAGGTGGGGGGGCCACAATTGAGCAGCTCCGGGCTTCTTTGGCAGGTGTGCTTTCAGGAAGTGACTCGCACAGTAAAATAGCTTATTTTCTGATAGTTGATTACAGGCATTATTAATGGAAACCCTGATTTGTTTCACATTTTCTCATCTTAATGCAGTCCCTGTCTTGTTTTTCAGTCTCTGCTTTCTATCCGTCAAGATGATAAAGTTGTTTGCCCAAGAACCAAAGAAGTCTTCCACTTCTCACAAGCCGAGAAAGTGTACATCATGTAGGCCCCGAGTCGCCAAGCGCACGCCTGGGGTCAGGGGCTATGGGAGCGGGGCCGCACCCTTCTCCGTCCCAATCCCTGCCTGCCCCGGCGTTTCTGTTTCTTGCGACCAAAGATGAGTGAGCAACGACACATACTCTTACAGACAGAGGAAGTCAGATTTATTGAGTCTGTACCTGAGAACAGCATTTTGATCAGTAGGATTTTGTAACATAAGTCGACTGTTTGATGCTTCTGCAAAGTTCTTGCACCTCAAAGGAAACTTTCTCTACAGCGTGACCTAAACACCGAGGGAAACTCAGAACGTCTCAAAAGTAGGAATTGGTGATTTCCCAGTGTTTCTGTTTCCTCCTTTGCTAGTGACCAGACGTGGGGAGCATGAGGAATAACTCGTGTTGGCTGCAGCCTGGGTGAGGTGCTGGCCGCACCAGCCTTGACTTGTGATGTAGTCCCCGAGGCCTTTCCTGACTTTACTCTAGAGCTGCTGCCAAAACGCCACCGTGTGCCACACCCCTGGGATTGCTTTGCCGAGGCTCCACCCGCAAGGCAGGCTTGCGGCTGCGGGGCTGTGTCCATATGTGCATAGGTTCAGTATCTCATCTTCCCTGCGCCCGCCTTATTTCCTGCTTCGAGAATGTATTCATGTGGAAATCCACTGGACCAAGTTTCTGCAGAGGCCTTGCTGGATGGTTCCGTAACCCTAGAGCCTAAATGCTATTCATTACAGAAACTGATAGTTGAGCCGAAATAAGTACTGATGGTTTTCAAAGCAAATGAACCATTATAGTTCACACAAAACCATATTGTAGAGGTTTGTATCTAGCACTTATTTTTGCATGTTGATGTTGATTAGCTAATAAACTGTAAATGTAAAGCGTGTTAATAAAACAGCTTTCTATTTCTCATTTCTGTGTGAAGCGTTTCTAACACCTGGAATGTGTTCTGCCCTCCCATTGGTCAAGAGGCCAGCAGCACCATGTGGGCCTGGGTTTTGTCACTGCAGCACATGTGGCAGCCACGTGGCCAGCCAGCACCAGGGGCCAGCCCTTCTAGGAGGTGCACGCCTGCCCCACCGACCTCCAGGGGACTGCCCTGGAGGATGAGGGCATTAGTGTCTCCAGTCCTGAAGTCACATCTGATTCCTGTCATCTCCATCCCTGATTCCCAAGACCTTTGGGGTTGCTGTCTTTTTGTACAGGAACTCGGGCTACAGACACCAGCAAGCAGTGGCCAAAGTCCTGCACCACAGTCACTTGCCCTCCCCACTCCACGCCCACTACACTGTCCTTCCCCTGCTGTCCTCTGCCTCACCTCTTATTTCACTGTGCCACTGCTTTGGCACTCAACTCCTGTCCCACCACTACAGCCAAATGTGACATGGTCCTCTTCTAGTACCACCCCAGTTCAGGCTGTGGTAGAGGAAGATGCCTGCGTGTTGTCCTCACTGACCTCCTCCCTGTGCCTGTGCAGTGCCGAGTGGTCACATTGTGCCACTTGGCACTTCTCTACTTGGGCTGAGGCTGCACCAGTGAGGACGGTAGCAGCGCCCAGGACTCCTGAGCCACCTCACCAGCTGCACATCCTTCATCCTGTGCTGCTGAGCCAACCCCAGAGCACTGCACTGTAGCACAGGGTCTTCCCGGACACCTTCAGCTTACCTGCCTGTCCCTGCACCTCTGGACACCCTGTATAGCAGCGAGCCACTCCCCAGTGCTCACATAAGACTGTTCCAGCATCCCATGGGTGCTCCAGGGCCTCCACAGGCCGTACTCTGGCCTGTTATTAATCAGAGTAGCTCAGAAGGGCCCCTTAGCCCAGCTTCATGCGGGGCAGTTTGTTCCTTTATGGCTGTGTGGCTTCACTACAGGACCAGACATGGTGGTTTGTCCCTTCCGTGGGCATCTTAGATGAAGCATCCTGAGGGAAGAAGCTGTATGGTCACACCGACTTGCCCCCACCCACAGTACACAGGCCGTGTCTGCTATGTGCTCCTGCATTCAGCACTGGGAGCTTGTTTTTTTTTTTTGTTTTTTGGTGGCTTTAGAGTTTGAACTTGGCTTCACACTTGCTAGGCAGTCGCTCTACGACTTGAGCCACTCCTGCCTGCTGTCGTGATTGGTATTTTCAAGATAGGTTCTCACTGCTGGGCACCAGTGGCTCACATCTGTAATTCTAGCTACTCAGGAGAGAGATCAGGAGGATTGCAGTTCAAAGCCAGCGGGGCAAATACTTTGTGAGACCCTATTTGAAAAAAGCCATAAAAAAGGATGGTGGAATGGCTTAAGGCATAGGCCCTGAGTTCAAACCCTAGTACTGACCAAAAAAAATAGGGTCTCACAAACTATTTCCCTGGGCTGGCTATGCATCATGAGCCTCTTGATTTCTGTAGCTAGGGTTACAGGCATGAGCCATGAGTGCTCACTCCAGCTTTGATATATTTAATATACATTGTATCTTTTCTAATCCCTTATTTTAACATGTGGATTTGGGTTTTTTTTTTTTTTTGGCAGCACTGGAGTTTGAACCCATGGCCTCATGCCATGTGGTAGGCAAGTGCTCTACCCCTTGAGCCACTCCTGCCAGCCCTTTTTTGTGTTGGGTCTCAACTATTTACTTGGGCCGGCCTTGAACAGCGATCCTCCAGTTCAGTTCTCTGCTGAGTAGCTGGGGGTTACCGGTGTCCAGCTTAACCTATGTATTCCTGTAGACATAATGTGGACCTTGCTCTTTTTAATCTAATCTCTTTTTAATTGGGGTGTTTAGACCTTTGACATTCACTATTATCGTTTGGGTTTAAATCTGTTGCCTTGTTTCCTTTCTCCACTGTTGTTATTTTTCGTTTTTACCTGCCTCTAGATTAGTTTTAAGTGACTCCTATTTTTAGCGATACTTGATTTTTTTGTGGTGGTAAGGATAGAACCGAGGGCCTCATGCATGACAGGCAAGTGACTATGAGCCACAACCCCAGCCCTGCTATACTTAATTTGTGTACAGTTAATGTCAATTAACTGAAGGCAGTATGTTCTGAGAAATACAGCATTAGGTAGTTACACTGTGGCGTGAACAAAAAGTGTGCTTACAGTCAACCATGTCACTAGGTGTTAACATTTACCTGTGGGGCCACAGTGCTACATTCGTACATTCAGTCCTCTCCCGCTGAAACACAGGGCGTGGCTACATCTTTAACTTACCCGTGTACCTTCAAGTAGCATTCGTGTAAGAATCCTAAGGGATATACTATTGCTTTTCCCCTCCCTGTCCTTTGGATAACTGTCCTAATTTCTTCCACACATAATGTATCTTCACGATCCACTATTGCAGTCGGTGCTTTCTAGAAGAAATGTGAAATAGAAAAATATTTACTCTTTTACCACTTACAGAGCACGTCCCTTCTTCTGTAGCTCAAAGTTAGCCTCTGATGTAATTGCATTCATGCAAAGAACTTCCCCTGCCATCCCCTGCACTCAATGTCTGTGGGAATTTTACTTATTCACTCAATCTTCAACAGATATTGAGCACCCATTCTATCTGGCATCATGAAACAACAAAGGTGCCTGTTCTCAAGGAGCAGACTAGATACACAAGAGAAAATGTAAGCTTGCAAGCCCATGTGGCAGAAGGCTGGGAAATGAGTGGAGGCCTTCTCACAGCTCGGGTGAGGAACCAGCAGACCTGGAGGAGCCCTGTGCATGGGGCATGTGTGACCTTTGAGGCAGAGCAGCCAGCTCCTGCCTGGTAGCAAGAGGAAGAGCAGGCCAGGCCAGCCTGGGCCCTGCATTGCTGCAGGAGCCACCAGAGGGCTCTGAGGAGTCATGTGATCTTGCTGAATGGGGAGTGGACTCCTGGGGCACCAGGGGAGACAGGTGGTCAAGGCATGGACCCGGGAGGGGAAGGGGCCGGGAACTGGCAGTGGCTTGAGAGGGTGGGAAATGCCTGGTCCTGAACGTATTTTGAAGGTGAAGCTGCCCAGAAAAGTCCAGGTGGCTCAGGTCACCAGCTAATACAGAGAGGGCGGTGGGGAAGTCAGCTTGGGCAGCGTGGCAGACACCGGAGTTACACAGTTCAAACCCCATTGAGGTCCTGGGTGGACGTAGGTTTAGTGGAGAAGTAAAATGAGGCACGGGGCAAAAAACTTGTAGGAATCTTGATGCAAAGGGAAGCAAAGCCTGCGGTGCGTGGTGAGAGGATGCAGAGGGCAAACTTTGCTGACCAGAACAATGCGGACCGCCAGGCAAACCAAACTGCCTCGTGCGCGCGGCGGCCGCCGGGTCTCCGGGAGCTCGGGGCTGCAGGCTCCCCGCGCAGGAGGCGATCTGCCGAACTGAGGGAACCTCAGCCGGGGGGTACCCCAAGGGTGTCGCCGGGAAGAGCCTTTGCTCGTGGTCACTCGGTGGGCACCGGGTGTGCCCCAATCATCACCCGGCTGGGACCCGCGCTGAGACTCCCACCTGGGACCACCCTCGCCAACAGGCAGGGGCAGAGTGCGGGACCGCAAGCTCACTGGTGGCCAAGGCTCTGAGGTCCAGACCGAAACCTCTTTCTGAACCCCAGTTTCCCAGCCCGTCGCCGGGTCCCACCTCTCGCCTCCCCCAACCCCACGGCCCCTTTAAGGACTTGCTGCGCCCTCCCGCCTCCTTTTTCTCGCGCTCCCTCCTCCTAGGGTCCTCACGCTCCGCCGGGAGCGCGCCTGCGTCACCACGCAGACCTCGACAGCGCCCTCGCGTAGCTATTGGCTGCCCCTCTCGGACACGTGATATGAGGAGGGCGGGGCCCCTCCGGAAGGGGCGGGGCGAAGACCTCCGCGTCGAGCGGTAGGTGCGGCCGTCGCCGCGCTGACCTCTGCTAACGCGCCGCGGGGCCTGGGTGAACCAATGACCACAGCGCTCCGGGGCACGTGATGGGGTGGTTACCCCCCCCACCCCCGCCCCCCTGTCCCATGCCGGTAGGGGCGGGGCCAGGAGAGCGGCCTAGTCTTGCGGTAGGTGCGTTGGGGGCTGCGCTGGGGGCGGGACCCGGCGGGACCCTCGGATCTCCCGGGCTGCGGGTCCGGAGCTGCAGCGAGTGACGGGCTGCGGACCGCGTCCGCTCAAAGCCTCGGCCCTCGGGCTCTGGCGGAGCTGTGCTGCAGCCTTCCGCCCTGGCCTCTTGAGGGTGCGGTTCGCGGCAGGTCCTTACTCTCAGGCCGCAGCTCCGCCGTCTGTCCCTAGCAGAGAGCGAGTACCGGAGGCTGCGCTGCCGGGTTGGGAAGGCCGATTGCATATAATCATAGAGCGACATTCGCCCCCCTAACCTGGGGCCAGGGTGGGCGCGGCGGCGTCTCCCCCGAGTGGCTGTCGGAGTCACTGTCATCTTTGAAACGTCTGGTTGCCTCCAAAGGCCTCGTTGGACTCGCGCCGATCTCCCAGGGAGGCACCCATAAAGGCAGGGTTGTAAAGGCCAGCCGTAGGGTCCCTCCCGCAGTCACCAGTACTTGGGCGCCCCAGTAAACATTTGTTGCTGAAGCCAATAATGTGAAGCACTAGGGTGGTAACTGGGTACCTCCACTCCATATTTCTAGATATGGATCAGAAACTTCCAGAGTTGGTAGAAGAGCTCACAACTTCAGGAGAACCCCAACTGAATCCTGAGAAAATGAAGGAACTGAAGAAAATTTGCAAGTATGTCTTTAGGTTCAGCATTTCGTGGTTACTGACTGGTCCCAGTGAGCCCAGTGACACCTAGGAGATTGTGGGGTTTTCTGCAGTATAGCTCGCCGCTCACCTACGTATCTCAGCCATCCCGTGCACTATAATCCCAGCACTCTGGAGGCTGAGGCAGGAGGATTGTGAGTATGATGTCAATGATGTCAACCTGGGCTACATAGCTGTCTTTAAGGCCTGCAATGCCTGGCTTAGAAGGGCAGTCATATTCTGGGGCTATGGTCTTGGTGCCGTGAGGGAGAACACAGGTCAGAGCTTTCCAATTGAAGCTTCTGACTAGTCCATGTATGCGGCTTATAAAGTACATATTTGAGTCTTTGGACATATGCGACCTATAGATAAAGAAATGCACATCTTTATACTGTTGGAATATGGGAAGGGAAGTTTGTGGTTGACTTAGTCACTTTTTTTCCCACTAAGTGCTGGGAATTGAACCCAGGGCCTCAAACATGCTAGGCTAGAACTTTACCTCTGGGCCACACTCTGCCCCTGTGTGCCCACCCCCCGCCCCAGCCCTGCCCTGTCTTTTTAAGAGTCCACACATTCCCATTAGACTCTCCCTCCAGGGAGAGCACCCATAGGGACCCTGCTGCACAGCTTGAGGCAGCCAGATTTGAAGAAACAAAATTTAGGTGCTGTAAACATGAGCCTCGGGTTACCGAGTGTCCTGTCTTTTTACAAGGGGCGAACTTAAGCGATCCTTTGCTAAGTGGTAGAGTGTTTACATTCAGTAAAAACATTCCAGCTCACACCAGGTTTTGCTGGAAAACCCAGACTTCTGTGGTTTTCAGGGAGCTATTGCTGGAAAGAAGGACCACCAAGAGGGTTCCAGGAGCCTTTACCCTCAACTTCCCAAACAGGAGACTGGGGTTGTGCCCCTGGTTCGTTGAGCTAGTACAGGGCAGCAAGCCCATCCTATGAAAGGTCTGAGAGTACATAGGCCGTGCATCTCTAATTGGATCCACTCATCTCTGAAAGCAGCTGTGGATGATGTCAGTGAGGAGTGGCACTGACATTTGAATCTCATGTGATTGTCACAAGTCAAGACGTATCCTTGTACATATGTATTTTGACCATGTGTTTTGTTTATTCTTGCAGTGCTGGGGATAGAACACAGGGCCTCCTGCATGCCAGGGAAGTGCTCTGCCATTGAGCTACATCCCTAGCTGTTTCAGCCATTTAAAAATGTAGAAAACATTTTTGGCTTGTGGAATAGGCTGGAGGGAGGTACGGAGGCCATGGTTGTTGTTCAGACAGTGATATGCCCTCTCTGCTCTAGAGAGGGAGGATGAAGTTGTGTGTGGTGTTCCCACACAAAGAGCTGTAGTTACTTGTCCTTCAGGCACTGGGTCAGCCTACTTTGTGTCCCCCAGGTCTTCAGAGGAGCAGCTCAACCATGCCTACCGTCTGCTGATGACACAGCTGACCCAGGACCACGCCGAGATCCGCCTCTCTGCTTTCCAGGTTGTAGACGAGCTCTTCACCAGGTCTCACCAGTTCAGGGTGCTGCTTGTTTCCGATTTCCAGGAGTTCCTGGAGCTCACACTGGGCACAGACCATGAACAGCCCCTGCCACCCCCGAGAGAGGCAGCCCAGCAGCTGAGGCAGGCAGCCATGCGGGCTGTGGAAGGTTGGAATGAGAAGTTTGGGGAGGCATATAAGAAGCTAGCCTTAGGCTACCATTTCTTAAGACATACCAAAAAGGTAAGTGGGCTTTGCCCAGGGCCATCTGGTTCCCTTTTGTTGAACACAGCACAGAGCAAGCACAGGCTGAGTGGGGAAGGGCTCCCTGAGGACAGAAATAACCCTGGGGAAGAAAGAGCTGCACCTGTATGTGGCTCTAGTGGAGCCTGCCTAGGGTGTTACTTTCCCAAATGCAGTCTTGTTCTGCGAAGAGCCTTTCCTTCTGGGATCTGTCCACTCTTGCCCTTTAAGTTTCCACCTGGATGCAGCCATCCCCAGCAGAGGTAGGTCCAGCCCCACCTTGAAGACCTGCCTGAGGCTTGCCCCCCTCTCCCTCTGGGTCTGGCCAACAGCCCATTGCCTGCTGATCAAAGAGCATGCTGCTTTCCCACCTATGTCATACTTGAGCTGCAAGTCCTGCCTCTTTTACCTACAGTGGCAAATGTGCTGGCTATCCAGGAATGGGGACTGACAGACACGTGGAGATGGTAGCTGCATGCTAATGCCAGCGTATCTTTCCAACTTTGTGTGTGTGTTGCAGGCAATCTGTCTTTATTCTCAACTTCTCAGGTAGATTTTCAGGATGTAAATGCTAGGACTCTGGCAGAGAGGAAGCGAGAAGAGGAGAAGCAGAAGCACTTGGACAAAATCCACAGAGAAAGAGCTGAGCTGGCCCAGAGGGAGATAGAAGGCAAGTTCCAGAACTGTGGGATATTGCAGGTGCTGGTGGCTGCTGGTACCTCTCTTCCCCAGCTGTCCTCTGCCCAGCCTGCTTATCCTCCCTGTTGTAGGAGACTCAGGAAGGCAGGACAACTCAGGTCTGGGCTGTGGCTTTACAGGGTGCCTGCACCGTCTGTGCCCCCTGGTGGTTAGGTCTTGTGGCCACTTGCTGAGGCTTCCTGGGCAGAGAGGCTTCTTGCCAGGGGTCTGCACTTGGTTGCCTGGCTGAACCATTCTTCTCAGAGCTCTCCATTTGCTCTTGGTAGCACCCTTTCCCCAGTCCTTCACATGCCCTTCCTGACAGCCAGCACTGTTAGGGGGCATGAGCAGGGTGTAGGGAGTTGGGGCAGGCTCAGAGAAGCATTTGCCCACCTGCGGAGTACCCCCCAGGCAAACTGAGGCAGCTGATCTCTGTCCTCAGATGGCAGAGCTGGGGCTCTTACTGTACCGAGAGCCACCCACACACACACCTATACCAGGCATGCCTCAAGGAAGCCTATACAGAAACCTGTGCCCCAGGTGGTGCTGTGGCCACCGGGAGCAGGTGTTGGACCAGTTCCTGAGAGGCATGGATTGGTGGCAGAATTGTACTGCCTTGGAAGGAGGCACAGCCTCACTAGTAGTCACCACCCTGGCCTACTGCTCCTGGTGAGGGTTGGCCATGGCAGCATTCACAAGGGCTCCCATTAGTTGCTGCATAGCCTCATCCAGAGTAGGACCTTGCAGGCCCAGTGGTTGAGCCAAGCAGCTGGTATGTTAGGCAGTCAGAAGCTTCTGTGATGTGTGCACCAGGTGTTGGCTTTTCTTGGGAAGAAAGGTATGAGTGGCAGGCAAGGCTCTCAGCACACTTGGTGCCCTGGGGAGCAGGCTGTGGCAGTATTGGGTCAGGTGCTCTTTGGCTCGAGATGACAGAATTAAGCAGGTGTCTTGATCTCTTGGCAGAAATGTCTGAAGAAATCAGGTGCTGCCTGACAGAAGTAGAGAACTGCTTTAGGCTGTTGGTGCCCCTGGACTTTGGCCCCTGCCCAGAGGGTGAAGTTCTTAACCAGGCATTTGGCAGAACTGAGGAGGGAGCCTCTGGCTCCTCAAGCCTGGGCCACACAGCCTCTCGCCAGTCTTGTGCCTCCGGCCCCCAGGATGAGGAGCAGCCATGCTGCAGCAGGGACCTACCTGCCTTTATGTGTTACTCAGGAGCTGCTGGTGATGGGGAAAAGCCAGCCCAGACAGACACAAGGAGCCCCTCAGAAGATGAAGATGAGGGTAGTGACCCGGAGGAGTTCGTGCGGAGTCACGGGCTGGGCTCGCACAAGTACACGTTGGATGTGGAGCTCTCCTCAGGTAACTGGTTGGCCAGGTGTCACCTGATCAATGCCTCTCTGCCCAGCTCTGGGCTGGTTGGGCTGCTGCTCTCTCCCTGGCACCTGACCCAGGGTACCCTTGCCCAAGTAAGTCTGGGCCCTGCTGTGGCCTCCAGGTAGGTGGGGCGGGCTGGGGAGCTGCCAGTTTCTCTTTTCCATTTGGCTCTGCACTGGGCTACCCTACCATGCTGGGCTTCGGTAGCCATGGGACAGCCACAAAGAACTTGTGCACTTCTCTGTCCTTGCAGCCTCACCCTAGCAAGGCATTAGCAAGGCTGGAGCCCCTGGCAGGCTATGGACATCTTGCCTGGGTACAGGTCTGCTAGGGGCACTACCCTTGCCTGGGAGAAAAACATGATCAAAATATGGTTTCTTTCTGTGTCTGTGACAGTGACATAACACAGTCACACAGGACTCTGGCATTCCAGCCTTGGTGGGGTGCAGAGGCAGTTTCCCACGCTTCTGTCCTCCTTGGGCCTGCTTCCTCACAGGTGCCCTATGCTTGCCATGTGGAGTGTGGATGGAGGAGTTGGGGCCTTCAGGGATACACAGCTTCAAATCACTGTCTCTGAGGAGGCTATCTCTTTGAAAGGATAGCAGGCATCCCTTTTCCAGGGGGAGGCACCAGGCTCTGTGGCTATGGGGAGATCTTGGTTTCCAAGACTCAGTCAGCCCTGAGGCCAAGTGCTTCAGAAGGCCTCTAAGAGAGCCTTAGGGATGAGGTAGCGTGTTGTCCTCAGCCATGCATGGCAAGGACAACACTGACACCCTGACTTCACAGTGGGGCATGTGTGCAGCCCAGGTTGAGCAGGAGATGGGGTGCCTGTCAGAGGAAAAGTGGGGGAGTGGGGCCAGTGAGGATGGCCTGGTGGGCCACCAAGACCCCAGGGCTTGGAGGCAGAGGCATCCTGAGAGCATGGTAGGTGGAGCTAGGTCTGCGAGTCTGTGCAGTGGAGAAGGCTCCCTGTTGATGATCTCACCTTCTGGGTAAGGAGGGATGGCCACAGCTGGGTCACAGTAAAGGCATGAGGGGAGTTCCTGTTGTGGGACTAGAGTGGTCTTATCCACAACCTTTCTAAGGCAGCAATTTCTTCCCATAGTCGGCAGCTGGCTGGGAACAGGTGGGTGGGAGTCAGGTTTCCCTATGGGCTCAAATGGCCTCTGCCATGTGGTCAGCCACAGGGTCCTTCTGTGACCCCTGTTTGCCTTGTCACAGATGGCCTGAAGGTACAGGAGAGCGAAGATAATCTCGCTGTTCTCCATGCTGCCCGTGATGCACTCAAGCTCATCAGGAACAAGTTCCTGCCAGCTGCGTGCTCCTGGGTTAAGGTGAGGTTGGCACCTGGCCTTTGGTGTGGTCTTTTGAGGCCAAGAGCCAGGCAGAGTGTGGGTGGAGGGAAGACGTGCAGAAAGTGCTGGGTATGTCATCCTTAGAGTGATTTAGGGAGCAGAGTAATGGTGGGCTCCATTCTGGGGAGGGCTCTGTCCCTGCCCATAGAGTCTTGGTGTGCTCAGGTGTGCTTAGTGACAGGATCAGATCATGTGCCTCATGGCAGGGATGAGCTCTCTGGGGCCCGTCTGGGGTCATTGTGATTTGTTCCCTTGCTTTGCAGCGGTTTACCCATGCAGGGATCCACAGTGAACACTTAAAACATGCCATTGACCTGAAGATAGAATTGGAACTTGCTCTGAAGAAGTATGAAGAGCTGGACATTGTACCCGAGAGAAGGCAGAAGAGCAGGGTGAGGGGGTGGGGCATATCAGGTCCCAGGGGTCTGTGCTCAGCTATCTGAGCAGGCAGGAGTTATTGGGGTTTTGGAAGATTCCAGCTCGTTCTTTACCAGAGCTGACTTCTTGCAGTGGGAGCTCTAGACAGCCTTGCTCTGCAGTGGACCAGGGCGGCTCTGGCAGCAGAGCCTGCCCCCAGCCTGGCTTCGCATGAGCTCACTTATGCCACATCAGTGCAACATTCCTGTTGTTGGGTTGCTGTCCACTTGTCCTGAATTGTAGCCAAGACTACGAGGTGCTGAGCACCTGTATGTCAAGGATACATACAAGGAGCCCAAACAGCCAGGCTGTGGCACATATACACCTACTGAAGTGTGTGTATGTGTGGTGGTGGTGGGGGGGGCTTGCAGGGAGTTGCCAGCAGAGAAGCTGTTTGCCTTGGTGGGCACCATGATCAGGCAGAACAGAAACCTGCAAAGTGCACTGAGACAGCCGGAGAGGTGAGGGTGGGCGCTGTACTCACTTTGTGATGGAGACCTGAAGGCGAGCTGGACTGTGTATGCTTCAGGCCACGAAGGGTTGGGGTTTGGAAGCAACGAGCTGGTCCTTGGGAGAGCAGGTGGCTGTATCTCTGTGAGTAAGAAGCTGGTGTCCAGGTGTGCCAGAGGGAGTTTTCAGGTGCCTGCTCTGGGCACCTGGTGGAGGGCAAGGGTATAGCCTGCAGTTGATTGTGGAGCCGCAGAGATTGTGGGCAGTGGATACATTGGGGCAGGCTAGAGAGGAAGGGGGCATTGCTCTGGCAGAACCTGGAGGAGGGGTGAGCTTGGGTGGGAATTGGGACCCCACTGCCTGAGAGGGACATGCAGAGCTGGGAGTCCTGGGAAGGAGTCCTCACTTCTTGTGGCCAGAGAAGTTTGTTCTACTTAGTGTAGTTGGACCTTGAAATTGAGACACAAAATGGTCACAGGCAGGTCCCTGTAACCCCAGTCCCTCCCCGCAGTCATCTTCCTGCCTTTGGTGGTCTCTCAGCTGGTCTTATAAGGGAGAAAACAGATACTAACTTCACACAGAAAACCCAGGCCTGGGCCTTGAGCCTAGTACCTGGACTTGGAGCCCAAACCTGACCTGAGTGGAGAGTGTCCCAGTTCTAGCCTGGAGTAAGCAGATCTGTAAACTCTTCCCATTTTTGAAGGTAGCTTTTGGATAGAAACATGTTGTTCCTTTGCTGAAGGGAAAGTCAAGTTCGAAGCCAGTCAGAGGCCCCAATCTAGAACTAAGTAGACAACACCCTATACCACTTAGGGACACATTGACCACCCTCTGGCAGCCAGCGGGAGTGGGGGGTGGAGCAGCCCAGGAAGTGCTGATTCTGGCTTGGGAAGGGGGGAAAGGGTCTGACTGCTCTGCAGCAACTGCTTGCTGGTCCCAGCTTTGCAGAGGGTGTGTGCAGCCCCTGGCTCCAGCAGAGGGCGACCTTGCTTCTCCCTTAAACTGCCACTTTGAGAGGTTTTTTTTTGTGGGGACACAGTGCTGTAGTAGGGTCTGCCTGGCTGTGTTTTGTGGTTGCTGCTACTAGCTTACAAGGGTTTCATTTTGCTGTGTCACTTATCTAAGAAAATATTTTTGTGAATTTTTGACCAAAATGTGTTTGCAGTGAGTGGAACAGTTTTCTGGGGTAGGAAGATGGTTGCTCCTTTTAGCATGGTGTTGGGTAAGGATGTATTGGCTCTGTACCTGGGTCACAGGTTGTCTGAGCAGCAAGTTTGGCCCAAACTGAGAGTGCTGTGGGGTCATGCTTTCATGGTGGTCTGAAGGCCTATTGAGTGGAAGCTCCTTGCTGTTCTGCTGTATGCCTGATCCCTGCTGTCAGGACTCAGCCAGGTCCAGCTCCTACAGTCTGTGGACTATGTTGCTGATAGGATGTGGCTTTGCCCAGCACAGCCTTGAGCAGCTGGTACTCTGGGTAATGTCCATGATGCTTCAAGGGCTGTTGAGTTAGCTGGGTCTGGTCTCACAGATCTGGGCACCTCTGGCCTCATGGCCCATGGGACTGCGGGGTGACCCCAAACTCAGAGGCTTCAGCAGCTAGCTGCCTGAGCACTGATGCTCCTGCTCTCATCTCTCAACAATATGGCTCCTGATTGCTGAGTCCCCACTCAGCTGGTAGAGGGAACTGCTGGCTGTTCGGCATGTGTGGTAGGTGACATGGTCACCTAGGTCAGAGCTCAGCCAGCTCCAGGTACTCCACCTGGCACCCCCAAAACCTAGGGAGGCTCAGGCTCTCCTGTTTGTGTCCACTGTTCTGCCACCCTAGCCGGGCCTGCTGTGCACTCTTGGTTCCTAGCTTAGCCTGACTAGGTGCCATGAGCTTGCTTGCTTTGGCTGCTGCTGGCTGCCAGGTCCTAGCAGTAGTCCTGGCTTCCTGCTGCCATTGCTCTGGTTGCTGTTCCATAGGTGCCATTGAAGCCCATCATGAGTGCCACCAAGGCCCATCAGTGCCTATGGCTGTCTCCATACTCCCATGGGACACAGACACTGGCCTCTTGGACCCCCTCCATGGTGCACAGCCCCAGGCCTGCCTCTGTCCCCACCTCCCCTTGTCACACCTGCTGGTTGTTGGCCCCATCTGGACCCAGTTCACTGTGTCCTCACACCTCTTCGTGAGTGGTGGCCTTTGCAGTAGTGGTCTAACCACTTCTACCTGGGGCCTGCAGGACCTGCTGCTGGATGGCAGAGCCATGTGGAGTGATGTGTGAGGATAGCTCCAGGCAGTCTGGGACCTTGTTCTCCTCTAGGCATGCAAGTCAGCGTATCCTTGTCCAAGCCATTCTCCAGGGGCATGGGGGCCTGTGAGTGCAGGTCAGCTAGGCCTGTGGGGTGGGAGGTGCTTGGGCCACCTGTCACAGCTGCAGTGGGAAGGAAGACACTGCTGTACCTTGTTGTCAGTTGAATAGACACTTCCAGACCCTTCTTCATAAACCAATTTCAACAGAAGGCTCTGCTCTGAATCCTTGGAGATTTTGCTTACAGCAGCTTGAGAGCGAGGAGCTGCCTGTAGATGAAGTGATTGGCAGCTCTCTGGCTGTGAGTGGCAGTGCCTGGGCTCAGGTGAGCATCGCTTCCCAGAATAGACACGGCTGGGCAGCAGCGACAGCCTATCTGCCCATCTTCCCTTCTGCAGCTCTCGGGCAGCTCTGTACAGGGCTGCTGCTCCTGCAGTGGTGTGTGCAGGGCAGGTGGGGCCAGCTAATGAATGCCAGTGTTAATTAGAGCTGTTTTAATTAGAAATTGTGAATGAGGTGTTCTTCACTAATTTCCAGATAAAATTTACGGAGGGTTTAAATCATTTCCCGTAGTGTGTCCCCATTTAGCACGGGATGGGCATCGTTAACTCCGTGTGTAGAACAGGCTGAGCGGTGAACACTAATTCAATAATGCATAATTTAAATATTTTAGAACTTCTAACAAATGTATAAGATCCTGAAACAAATACAAAGCTCCCAGTTAAACTCCAGTGGCAGCAGCTCAGACCCTGGACCGCTCTGGTCCTTGGCAGTTGGCTGCTGCGGGCTGTGGACGTTGCTCCTTTTTCCTTCAGCAGCACCTGGAGGAGCCTTTTTCTTTTCGCAGTTCCATTTCTGTCTGTTGCTGTTGGTTTCTACATAGCGTTGTTTCCCTTTTGACATAGACGTTCTGTCTTCAAAAAATACTTGAGCCAGTTTAAATATGTCTAAGTGTTTGTTTTATAGAGTGTGTCTGTGTCAGCTCCGTTTGGAAGCAGGCAGGGGATAAATCTTAACTGGATCAATGTGGAGGGTCATTTGGTAGAGTTACTTTCTACCTTGCTCTGTTACAGAAGAGCTGTAATAATCCGTGGCTGCCTCATTTGTTAAACTGATAAAAATCCTTGGAAAACTTTTAAATTGCCTGCCTTTTAATTATGTAGCTCAGATCACCAGTAGTTTGTATTGTGTAATTAAGAAAATACAAATTCTCACTGACTGGTGGATGAGCACAGTGATTTCAAGCATCATTCTGTCTAGCTGCTCTTTCTGTCCTGGCCTTTCAGGCCACTTGTTCATGTGACTGTAAGGCCCGCGTGGCCTCTTTGTGCTCACCTGTCTTTGAGGGCAGCCTGGCTACCACCTGGCTATACAGTAGCTTTGTCCTTAGCACTCATGGGAGTAGGTCAGTCTGTTGTTGCAGCTTGCAGTTTTTTTTCTGTGTTGGGCACCGGCTTGCCTCAGCACCAGGATTATGTGGGTTCTGTGTGCCGGAGAGCTCTTGCAGGCCCAGCTCCTACTGTGCTGAATGTTAAGGGAGCTTCCTGTGCTGCTGCTGGGCTGCAGGATGTTTGTTTCCTGTAGGTGAAAAGGACAGAGGCAGAAAACCTAGGGGATGAAATGTTGAACATCAGGCCCACGCAGGGAAGGCAGGGAAACTAAATCAGCCACACAGGGGACCTTGTGCGGCAGCGGGGCCAGTAAACAACCTTCCCGGCACTTGCGCTCCCTCCATCACGCTGAAGGCCGAGCCCGCTCCCTGGCAGAGAGCAGGGAGGGGTGTGGGCACTGGTTCTTTTGAGGTCACCCATGAGGGTGGGAGAATGTCTTAGCTTGGTCTCAGCCTTCATGCCAGCTCACCCCCTCCCACTCCATAGCCCAAGCATCTTGGTTCTCCTTGATTCCAGATGTCTTGCTGCAGTCAGGTTTCAGAGTGAGCCTGCTCTCGTTGCACCTTCCCATGTGTTAGCCCTTTAGTTCCAGGAGTAACGATCAGGTAGATTATGGGAAAATATTGGGTTCAGTGTGTGAGCCTTGGCTGCCTGATGAATTGGTGCTTTGGTGACAGGGCCATACAGCAGAGCATGCCCTTATGCTTTCCAGAAGCTGGCCTGCTGACCTGGTCAGCACTAGCCATGCACTCTCACCTGAGTTTAGAGCCAAGACAGGTAGTTCTGCTCCATGTCTGGGAAGAGATCCTGTTCATCAAGGGCCTGTGCAGGCCCCCACACAGTTAGCTTTCTCTGCAAGCTTATGGGGTGAGCTACTAGCCTTAGAGGTGCCAGTGACTGTGAGGTGATTTCACACTCCGTTGGATGTGATGTTGGCGTGGAGTGCAGATGACCTCATGATAGCTTTACCTGCTTTGCTGTTCCACTCACACTGCCTTGTTCAGCGGCAGCACATATTATGCAGAATCTCAGGTGTCTGTCCATCTGGGGAACACTGCCAACACAGGGTGCCTGGTCTGTGTCCACCTGGCCACTAGCCCTCATTTGGATGATCACATCCATCCTCCTTACCCATCTGGCCGGCTGCTTGTTGGGACCCAGCAGCAATTTTGGCTCTGGAAATTGGCCTCCAGGCACAAGTGACCCAGGCTCTCCCATCCGACCCGACACTTCCAAACAGGTGAGCACAGCTCCTGGGTCGCAGGCCTGGGATACTGTGGCTCTGGTTCCAGGCTTGCTGGGCCTTGGAGCCTCCTATTCCTGGCACTGATTGAGATCAGGTGAGGAAGGAAGATGCCTGTCGTTCTGTGTTCTGATACGCTGTTGTGAGATCTTTTTGATGAGTGTAGATTTTATGGAGAGATAGTCATTCCAGAAAACGATGATGTGCTTCAGCATCATTTTCAAATTCTCATTTAGGAGGTGAGCAGAAACTCCTAGTGTCTTGTCTGTATCTGAGCAGGTTTGACTTGACCCTGGCACCATTGCCCACCAGGTGTCTGTTCCGGCACACTCACGTGGTCAGCAGCACCCTCTGTCCTCTGAAGGTGCGTCCCTGGCAGCAGGAGATGCACATGAGATATTGGCCTGGCCGGGCAATTTGCACGGCCTTCCAGGGAGGGCATTAGCATATAAATAGCAGATGCAATGACGACCATCACAGCTGAGCACGTTTAATTTTTAGTTTATAAGATAGAATGGGTTTTTAAATGCATAGCCATCAACCCGCTGAAAGACAAATGCAGTTTGGAACTCACTTGTCTGACGAGGCCTTACATCATTTTTTTTTAAAAAGGGAAATAGACACACATAAAACTGAACAAAAGTGATTTCTTGGGTGAAAAGTAATTGAGATTGCGCACCAAGTTAATTAGATCGCACAAAATTTATTTAATGGTCCCAGCTGTATCTCTAGGCCGTGGACTTGGTGGCCACCCGCTTCCCGGACATTACGATGCTCTTCTCATTCCTTCACAAATAATTAGCACTCACTACCCCCACTTCTGTAAACTGATTGTGTTGTATATTTCAGCTATTTTATTGCTTGTTTAATTATGATCGTGGAGACTCATTTTTCTAAATCCTTTTAACTGTGGGTGAAAATCAATTTGTATAAAACCAGCAGTGTCCCGTCCTGTGTCCCCCTCCCACCCCCACTGTTGCGATAGCGGCTGTGAGACATCTTGTGGTATGGGAAGATGGGGTTGGCTCTGTGTGGGATTCTGTAGTTCCCACCCAGGAGACCAGATTGGGAGATGTTCCCTATTGGTCTGTAGGGTATTGACCACCTGCCGTCCTTCACAGGCACTGAGGAGGGCACCTGACAGGGAAAGTGTGGGCAAGATGCCCAGTTTTCCCCAGCATGCATCTCCCAGTGAAGGGTGCCTCCCTGTTTTGCCCTGTTTTCATAGGACTTGCTTTGTGTTCCATCACTTTGGCAAACTCGGCCCCCAAATGGGTTCAAATCAAACTGCTCCTAAGAAAATTTCACACCTGAGGCTGATGCCTCTGTAGTGGGTATGCACTCATTTGGTGGGGAGCTGGGAGGCTTAGGCATCTGACACCTCCTGCCCGCTGTGTACTGCACAACCCCCATTTTCTTGCTCAGTTTTGGCCTCTCTCTGACCTAATCTGTGACCTTGAAGCCAGGTCATGACCACTGCAGCCATGGGCTCTTGATTACTTGGTTTTAGTCCTTAGGACTGTTCCACCAAAGCCGTAAACCTCTCTTGGGCCATGCTGCCTTCTCCAGAGCACTGCCCCTTGTGACCACAGTATTCCTGTCTCAGAATAAGCCTTGAATGAGATTCCTGAACAGACCGCATGAGTGTCCTAGCAGCAAGTGGCTTAGTGCTCTCTCTTCTTGTCCACACCAGGAATTTCACTGTGTGTCCATCAGTTGCAGCACACTTAATGTCAGTTGTCCACAGTAAATTTGGCACCCTGGGTTTGTAACATCCATATTTACCAGATGCAGATTCAGTGTTAGCAGCAAAGGCTCTAAATTCTGGTTGCTGTAGTTTGAGTGGCTACCCTAACTCTAAACAGTTTAAAAGCATGAGAATGGCTGGCTGCGGAGGTCGCTGTGGACCAAGGGAAAGCCCCAGGGTCTTTTTTAGAGGCAAAGACTTGTAGGAGGACTAGCAGCATCTACAGAGGGAGTGCAGACAGCCTGAGTCCTTATCAGTGCTAATTTAAGAACAAAGAGGACTTCAGATTTAATCACAGAAATAAACAATTTTAGTTGGGGAGAAATAAGGTGTAATTCCTAATAGTTAGCTAAGCAGTTGAATATTTTTTTAGGAAATGAAAATTTGATAGAAGTCCCCGGTGAAATTCAAGGGTGTGAGCAATAAGCACAATATTTTATGAAAATGACCCCCATATTTAAAACCTGGCACTATATGTTATGCATTGTAGCACCCAGTCCACATCTACCTTTTAGAAAATTAAAACACATAAATTCTGTTTAGTGTTTGATACGCACTGCACTAGCCGAGACCATAATGCCCTAAAACCTTGGGCTGCTTTCCACCTTTCATAAATTCCTGGGTAGATTCTATACAAAAATAATTTTCAGGTCCGTGGCTCATTGTTATTCAAACGTGATTGATCGTCGTCATTTGCTCAGCTCGGGAGTTAAGTGCCCCTGTCATTTCCAAAGAGTATAATTGGGACGTTTCACAGGTCAGTGGTGGAGGCAGGCTTCCCTTTTGATCAGTGTTAGACTGATAACAAAAATTACAGTTTCCAATGATTAATGTCTCCTGTGCTTCCCAGATGCACGGCCGTGGGCTGTACCTAAACAAAGTGCATTTGCATCTGATTATGCCTCTTGGGCAAGCAGTCTCGGCAGGGGCATTGGGCCCAGCAGGCTGCTCATGCCCTGGGCTCTGATGGCTGCACCCTGGAGCCCAGCTCTACCTGGGCGGGCAGTGCTGAACAGGGCATGAGTTAGTGACATGCTGCAGGTCCCTGCCCCTGGGGGCTGTGGCTTGCTTGACTTGACTCCTGGTGTACAGAGGCTTCCTGCCCTGGAGGGTCAATGACTGCTCCTCTTTTCAGGAGCAAAGCTAGGGGCCTTCTAGATGTTGCTATTGAGAATGGCTTTTAAAAATGAAGCCATGGATCACAATGACTTAAGTTTTTCAAAGTTTTTCTCTTACAACCTTTTAAGGGTCCCACTGGTTGTTATTCCCCTGACGGGGGCCTCCCTTTTGGGATGCTCCCATCAGCTTGGTCCTTGAGCTGTAGAAACTATGGGGCCACTACAACCAGGGTGCCATGACAGGGAGCATGGGCCCAGTCTCCCTGACGGGCTGAGCCTCACTCCTGTTGTGGCAGGTGGGCCCAGTGGGAAGGTGGAGTGGAAACAATCTCACCAGAGGCTTGTTTCTGAGTCCATGGGGTGGGCACTACCAGATGTCTGCTCTCAATGCTGTCTGGTACATTCACATGTGTTTGGCCACAGTTCTGGCCATGATGTGTATCAGCCTGCACTGGCTGCTGCCTGCCTTATGAGGAGGGGAGCCAAGGGGATGAGCTAGTCACATGGATCCCCTGCACGGCCCACCGAGGCAGATGCAGCAAGGTGCAGAAGGAGGGCAGGGTGGGTGCCGAGAGTCTGCTTCTTAGGGGAGGAAGCAGTCCTTCCCATGCAGTTCTTCAGGTCCCCAAGGTGTGGGAGACATACCTGCTCCCCCAGGACTCACATGAGTACCCACCACTCCCTGGCAGGAGAGGTGGCCTGGGAGGGGACTCAGATGGCTTCCTCCCTCCCTCCTTTTCTGGATTTGAACTCAGGGTCTCATGCTTGCTAGGCAGGTGCTATACCACATGAACCACACCCCCATCCCTTTTTGCTTTAGGTTATTTTTCAAATAGGGTCTCAGGCTTTGGTCCAAGACTGGCCTGGAGCAGCAATCCAATCTTCTTTATGCCTCCTGTGTAGCTGGGATTACAGGTATGTACCACCACATCCAACTCAGAGGACTTTTAACAGGTTATTCAGGACAGAATATTCCAGAAGTGCCTGTTCATTTCCACTGCCCGTTGTGTCCAGCACCCTGGATAGGTCCACATAGTGCATTGGCTCTGCCAACTGTTCCAGGGGTGGACACACCTGCCTTGTTTCATGGAGAGCTGCTGCCTGAACTGGGAGGAATGTCTGTAGGTATTTAGGTATTCTGTCCTGAGACTTGGAGCTGCGCTTACTCCTCGTGAGGGCGGAAGGAGAGCACACGCCAGGGCTTGGGGTATGGCAGGCTCACAGTCTGTGGCCGTAACATAGGCTAAAAAGGCCCCAGGTAGGTGCAGGCCAGAGAGGTGAGACTGAGGGACAAGAACAACTTCAGAGATGACCTTCAGTGAAGACAGACCTTGGCTGAGTCTGAAATACTGAATTGTAAGAAAGGCCCTGCATTTTTCCCAGCTGCCTACTGATAGTTGCTCTCATTCACAGGGTCTGGGTGTCCTTATCTGTACTTGGGGTATTTCCACAGACAGAAGCCCCAGAGGACAGGGAGGATGAGGACGATGAAGACTTTGTGGAGGTCCCAGAGAAGGAGGGGTATGAGCCTCACATCCCCGACCACCTGCGGGCTGAGTACGGTGAGCTGTGGGCCAGGGATCAGGGAGGGGAGGGGTTATAGGGATGGGTAGAGCAAGGGGGTTGGGGGGATACCTGGGGAGGAGAGTCCCCACTCTGCATACTGCCTTAAGGCCATGACAACTCTCTCCTTGACCCCCCATGCAGGTGGGTCTTGGTGGGCATCCTACCTGCCAGACCTGCTGGCTTGTCTTAAAGAGCTGTTGTGTCAGTCATTGTTACTTTCATTTAAAGTTCTGGGTTTTTCCTTTTGTTCCTTCCCCCTGCCCAAAGTGGGCTGCCATCCCACAGGGTGGGTCCTACAGCCCTTTCTGCTGCCCCAGCCCTGAGACAGGGACCACAGACAGGTGGAGAGTCCTGTGTGGGTCTGCACCACAGATGGAGTGGAGGCAGGCTTTGGCTCTGTGGCATCTGGTACTCCCTGACCCGACAGGCAGCCTGTTCACTCGAGCACATCCAAGGATGTAAAGGACACCTTCCAGATCCAGCTCTTTCATATGGGCTCCTTAGATTAAAGAAGAGGTATTGGGGTCTGGCTTCTGCAACTCAGGTACCATCTCTAGGGGCAGGAGGTGGCTACCCCATGTGCTCTGGGCTTCCTCTCCAGCAGCCATTTCTTAAGGGCATCATGAGTAAAGCATGTCCCTGCTTGGTGTCTGTGAAGTCACAGATGTATCTGGGCCCAGGACATCCATGTGCCCCACAGTAGAGGAACAGACATGGCTCAGGGTGTCTGCATACCCCACAGCAAAGAGCAATTTCTCACTGCTTGGGACATGCATAGCATAGCTCTGAGGGGCCTTTCCCATAGAATTTTCCTCTTTTCCAGAAAAACCTCTAAATGCTGTGCCCTTACACTGCAGGCTGTGGCCCTCAAGGGAAAAAGGGAGTGGATCAAGTCAGGACAGGGCCCTCAGGACCCCACAGCCACACTCAGGTAGCATTTGCCCATGTAAAGAGGAAACAAACAAAAAGAAGCCTGGCCTCTGTGGTGAAATAGACAAGTGGGCTTGAACCGGAGTCTACAGGATGAAATGTAAATTTGTTGAAAGTATTTAGATGATTAGACAACTCATGTGTGACGACATGATCCATTAGGGGTGTCATGCCAAATTAACACAACCAGACTGCTAAGGGCCTTCTGTTTGTGCAGCCCTGTGTACCCACACATGCCATCTGTGTTGGGCCACCTGAGCACCTTGGGGTCAGTGCCTGTTGGCAAGCAACATTTGGGGGTCACTGGGGATAGCCTGGTTTGGCCTGCTCTGCATGAGGCCTAGAAAAGACTCAGACTTGCTTCCTGTTCATGAGGGGCTCTCCACCCAACAATGCTCCTCTCGCCCAGCTCACCCTGCTGGGTCAGACCTGTTGTTCTCCATTGCCCCCCACTCCCTGTCCTCATGGGACTTCTCTAGCCTCCCCTATCCGAAATGTTCCATTCTTTTCCGAGCCTCAGTCTCTACCTGAAATGATTGTCTGCCCTCCTGTACTACTGCCTTTCCCCCTGGTGTGAGGGCTTCTGTGGACAGAGCCTTATCTAGGACAGCCTTGGCCAAGTGCCACACTTCACATGGGGCATTGAGAGGTGCTTGAGGTATGCTGTTGGGTGCTGTGACTACCCTCCCTGAGCCTAGATGGTCTTTGCTTCCCATCCTGCTGTCTGCTGTCCTCATCCAGACTAGGTTAGGTCATGGCCCCAGGTTCAAGTTGGTGCTGGTCTAACTATTGCCACCAGGATCTGAGACAGTGGACAGTTGGGGCAGATGAGGCAGGGAATAGCCTACTTGGCCTTTCCCTTCTGCTCGAGATCCTGCAGCCAAGGACTCCAGGTTTTAGGCAGCACCTGCCTGTGTACCACCTGGGTGGTCTTCTCTGTCCAGATGTCCTCCCATCTCCTGGGTACCTTGCCTTAAGCCCCAGGGCTAAACCTGGGCTTCTAGAGGTCCTCAGGGGAGCCTGGAAGTGTGATTGTAGCAGAGTTTTCTGGGACTGGGCCTCTGTGCATTGGTGCAGCCCTGTTCTGATGCTTTCATGTTCTTCTAGCAGAAGTCACACCTGCTGGGAATTGTGGCTGGACGGTCACTCAGACCTTACTGGTGGCCCCAGGTCGTAGAGCAGGGCCAGAGTGATGAGTGAACAAAGGTAATTGTCCTCAAAGAACAGCAGTTTCCTTCTGGCCTGTGGCATGGGAGTGGTCAGTAATAGTGACAGTGATGACAATAACAACAGCCTCCAATCATAGGTGCTCACTTGATGTTACCTGGAATTTACCTCCAGGAAATGGGCACACAAATAGCAGAGCCCTTGCTGGCCCCTGTGGGAAGTGACAGGGCCATGCAGGTCTTTGGCGCTCCTGTTTAGCGGTGGCCTTGTGCCCCCTGCTTCTGAGTGGCTTGTTGCTGTTGGCCAGTTGAGTCTAGCAGAGGGGGTTAAGTTGTCAAAGACCCTGTGGACCCTGCCAGGTTTGCTAGGACACTTACTTGGACACACAGGACTACATAGAGCAGTCACAGCTGGCCCTCGGGTTGACGAGCCAGGCCCAGCCCTGTTTGTGGGTTGTCTCAGTCTGGCCCTGGGCACAATAGAAGAGATGTGCCATCCCTGCAGAGTGCTTCTGATGCTGAACAAGCTTAGGTGGCTGCTGCTTCCATGGCTGAGTGTTGGAGTAGCTTGTTAACATACTCAGTAGCAATAACTGCGATGCCTGTCCTCTGGATTCCTGGCTCTTTGCTTACCAGCCTGCATGTGACCGTCCTGTCTTCCATAACCTGTGTGTGAGCAGGGCCAGGCCCACATGCACCTGGTCTGTGGGGGCTAGGGGAGGGCTCTTCACAGCAGGGCAGAGACCCCGGTTGTTTTATTGCCTCTAATTCATCCCTTTTCTTCAAAAGGCTAAGAACATCTGTCTTTAACCTCGAAGGCAGCCCTGGCTGCTGTGGTCTATGGTTCTCTAAACTGCATCCAGTGGAAAACACTGGGCTGGCAGGATGGGTGATGTGGTGCAGTGATGCTCCAGGCAATGTCATCTGTGCCAGCCCTAGGCCTAGACCATAGGAGCCAAAGGAGGGACCAGTGGGCCCCAAGTTCCAGGGCCAGGTCACCAGAAACGTTCAGAGTGGGGCAAAGAGGGTGCTGGCCCCATGGGCAGGAATTCTGGTGGTGATAGAGGGTAGGCACCCCATCCTTACCTTTTAGGGAGAGGGTGCTTGAGAGCCCTAGGGAACTAAACCAGCAGCCTGGGTGCTGTGGGGCAGTGGATGGACAGACAGCATGCGGGCAAGCTCAGTTCATAATACTAGTTTATATTCTGTCGCTGTTTTTCCAATTAAACACAGGCGAATCTGAAGTGTTAGATTCAGTCTAAATCCACACGGCTGAGGAAACCGGGCCCTTTTTCTTTCTCATTTCTTTCTCTGAATTTTCACTGAGGGGCTTTTATCTTCCCCTTAATCCTACCATTTCTGTCAGGACATAATCTCTTTCTCAAATTTACATTTTAATTACAAGGCCAGCTGAACTAGGTAAAATCAATAATGTCAGCGCTCGGCAGCTAACTTTGTGCGGAGCCCCAGCCTCTCCATTTCCTTCTATCGATTTATCTCTCCCGCACTGTCTGCTTTAGTGCTTCAGGCAAATAGGTGCCCCTTGGTCAATTTAGACAAAAACGGGGATTTGAACATTTTTATGATTCCTTCTAAAAGCAACTGTGGGAGTGAATTTGAGCCAAGATAACTGTTCTCGAGTCAGATACCGAGGGGCCTCTAGTCCAGCCATGAGATGGTCAGACTCCCCCTGCTTTCTGGAGATGCACGCCCTCAGTACCCAAGGAGCACACTCTGCTTTTTGGGTTTTACTTTGAAAGTATGTCAGTGAGATTGATTTTCTACGACAATGTGAAAATAGTGGTGTGTTCAGTGCCCTGAGTGTTTACCCTGCTCTAACACGCTTACCCATCTTCTTAATGGTTTAAAACAACAAATCAATGAAAAATATATTTCATTCTTGTAACTCTTAGGAATTCTCATATTGATCTTTTGGCTATGATTGTATCTATCTAAATGTCACATTGTTCACTTATCAGCCTTGCCTCCCCCCTTTGTACCCACCCGTGCACACATGTGCAGGGGTGGGGTTCGCTGCTGGCATCTGCATCAGGCAGTAATGATGCCAGAATGCTGAAGGGCATCTGGAATAGTTGGTGAGCTAAATCCAGGGCATTGTTTGGAGAACAGAGTGGAGTAGGAATTGCCTGGCATCTTCCAAATGCATAGTGCACCCAAGCCTTCAGGCCTCAGAGCTTGTGGCAGCCTTAAGGTCGCTGATGGCAGCCTCATTACCCTCTCCACATCCTGTGTTCCCAGCTCATGGGGTTCCAAGAGATAGGAGTGTACCACACATCTGTGTGCAGGGTGTTTTAGAGCAGGGATTGGCAAATGTTTTCTTGAAGGTCCAGAGAGTGAATAGTTTGGGCTCTCTGGGCCACATCAGGTGTCTGTCACAGTTCTTCAACTCTGAAAACATCCATAGACGATACATAAGCAAGTGAATGCAGCTGGTACCATAAAAACTTTGTTAACAAAAACAGGCAGTGGGCTGGGTCTGGCCCATAGCCTGCTAACCCCTTCGAAGTCCTGAAGAGCAGCTGACCATTTTGTGCTGTCGGCTCACTGCTGCTACAGTGAGCCCACAGGAGTCCTGTGGGCCTGGGTGAGTGGATTGGTCTTTGCCCCTTTTGGACAGGCTACATGTGCTTTGACTTCATTAGGCGCATATCCATCCGAGTTTACCACACTTTCCCGTGCTCTTCCTCTTACGTTCTTTTTAAATTTTAAATCTAGTTTTTCCTGATACATGTCATTACAGCTCTCTTTTGGTTCTTGTTTGTACAGTAACTGTTTTTCATCTATTTCCAGCCTCTCACTAACCATTTGTTTTTAGAGGGTCTGTTATAAATGTATGGCTACGTATATTTAATATAGTTTTCTCATGGATTTAATTCATTTGATAGTTTGTCGCATACTTCTGCTTACTGTAATTTCTCTTTGATTTGCTGCTACCATTATTATTGTTTGGTTTTCTTCCTTTTCCTACCTTTTATTTGGTAGAACAAATTTTTTCCTGTAGCTTTAAAAAAAAATAGTCTCTTTTTATTCTTTTGGTGTTTATCCCTAATTTTTGTGGTGTTGGGGATCAAACCCAGGGCCTTGCACATGCTAAACATATGCAGTGCAATTGAAGCAGACCTGCAGCCCACTCATTTACTATTTATTTTCACAGTTTCTCAATTTCGGTACGTTCCCCTGCAGAAGCACCCTGTCATCCCACCCCCATCAAACTGAATCATCTAGATACCAGCTTCATTTTGATTGTGATGGATCTGAGAGGGACAGTAAAGGTTACAAAGTCATTTACTCCTTGTTACCTCCCTTGTCCTGCCCCACTCAAATTTATAATTTATTTTTCTTTCTTTTTTTTTTGGTGATACTGGGGTTTGAATTCAAGGCTCCATACTTGCTAGATAGGCACTTTACCATGTGAGCCATGCTCCCAGCCCTTTTTTACTTTGGTTATTTTTCACATAAGATGTGAAAAATCTTACCCAGTGCAGGCCTCAGACCACAATCTTCGTACATACATGCCACCATTCCCAGATTATTATTGCACTAATCTTTGCCCAGGCTGGCTTCAAACTGCAGTCCTCTGTTATCTCCAGCTCCTGAACCACCATAGCTGTTGTATTTTTCTTCTTGATTGATCATGTGCTCTAAGGGTATTTTCAAGTGATCTCTTAAGTGGTGGGCCTCATAAGGTCTGTGTCCTCAAGACCCTGGTCCTTACTTGTAGCTGACATGGTATTGTAGCTGGGTATAAAACTGTGACCTCAGCTCTTCCTGCACAATTTTTTTGTTTGTGTGGTGCTGGTGATTGAATCTAGTGCCTCACACATACTGGGTAAGTGCCCTGGCACTGAGCTCTACCTCCAGCCCTTTGCTGCACACTTTAAGGTGACTTTCAAGATCCTGTGTTCACTACTCCTGCTGAAAGTGATGCTGCCAGTGGGATTTTCACTTCCTTGAATATGTCTTCTTTTCCTCTTTGTCTTTAATGTTCTTAAACTTCCCGTGACATTCCCAGCCACAATTTTCTCTCCCTCCTCTGGTACTCTAATGCCAGGAAAACTTGCCTCATTACTTCTTCAGCCATTTTCTACACTCTAATTATTTTTTCTTTCCTCTGGGAGTCCAGAAGGGAGGACACTGAAACTTGCATATCTGCCCCACAACTCTGAGCTATAATGTGTGCTCATGTGCAGCCGCTGCTCCCTCGGTCTTCCAGTCACCAGCAAGGATTGTTTCTCTGCTGCTTTTCCCCCTCCCCTTCTGACTCCACAGTGCTCCTGTTGTCTGCATGCTTCCTCAGCTGTTTCTCCCCTCCCACTTTCCTCCTCTGTGGACTCTGCCACATCCAACATGTGCTTGTTCTCTTTCTTCTTGGCAGGGTGCTCAGAAGACTCTGCTTCTCTGCTTGTTCAGATTGGTCTGGAGTAATGACCAGGGCACCTTTGCAGGAGGGACTGGGTCCAAACCTTGTTGCTTCAGTCCAGACCCTGCCCTGGGCCTTGCATGCCCCACCTGAGAGGGTCAGCAGGGCGGACCCAAGAGCCAAATTCAAGTCCTGCCTTGGCACAGGCCTGGAGCAGGACAGGCAGGGCTGGGCTTTGGGCAACAGAGGCAGGGCAGGGCTTGGCAGTGTTGGAGGATCTGTCCTTGTCCTGCCCCTGGGATGTGAGAATGGGTGCCAGGCTGCAGAAGGTGATGTTCTGCCTTGTGTCCTGTGGGAACACTGGTGAGATGCCAGAGTCATAGCCTCATCTAGCTAGTGGCGGGGTAATTCTAAGGTGACACCCTGCTAGTTGAGAGCTTAGCATCTGCTCACAACCACATGGGTGTCTGCAGGCCTGGCCCTGGCTCCCACTGCCCCTTTGGTTTTCACAGGAGTTGGCAGAAGCCAGAGCAGCCCTGGGCATTTCTCCTGTGAACAGCAAAAGGGAGAAAAGGTGCCATTTGAATCCGAGCTTGAAGTTGTATACGTGTGATAATGCAGGAAACCAAAAGTGCTCAGTGCTTTTTTCTCTTTCTTGTTCCTGGTTCAGTGAACGGTGGCTTGCGTGTTGTTAGGGGAACCTTGTGTTCACACCAGGGGGTGGCCACTCTCCAAGTGTGGCCCTGTTCCGTCACAGTGGGCAACTGTGGGTGAAGGTGACAGTGCTGCTGGCCTGCACTGTGGAGAGCCCTGGGTGGGGTTCCTGCTGCTGGGCCTACACTCCTGGAGTGGCCTGGTGAATCCAGGTGGTAATTTCCCAAAACTGGGCAGCCCAGCATTGACAGTGCCTCATGGACTGGGGCTGCCAGGGTCCCTATCCCAAATCCACTGTCTTCTGCTAAATGTGGTCCTTGTTGGAGAAGTTGAGGTTCTAGGGGCTACCTCATGCATTGTTGGAGGAGTCATGGCAACGTGGCACTCCTGGAGTGGTCCTGGATTGTGGAGTGGAGTCCAGGAGCAGATACCTGTCTGTTTCAGGGCTGGAGCCAAAGGCCCCACTGCGGACCCAGGAGAAAGACACAACTGCACAGGGCTTTCAGGCAAGGACAAGGACAAGAAGAGATGAGGAGGCATCGGATCCTACCTCTGCTGCTGCCCAGCCATGGTGGCTCCAGGACCACCTGCCCCCAACCCCAGCTTCTGCCAGGTGACTCCAGATGTCCTGTGTTGCTAACACACCTGCTAAGAGCACTGGCTGGCCTGAACAGGCTGACTCTGGTCTTCTCTGGCTCCCTTGGCCAGTCTGGGGTGTGTAGCCATGGTTAGTTGGCACTTGCTGGTATCTGCCAGGGCTGGAGCTATGGGGCTGGACCTGAGGCTGGACCACACTGCGATTTGCGGCAGATGTCAGGTAACCCCAGCCAGGCAAGAATCAAAACTAGAGCCAGTGCTCAGCTGGGGCCAGGCGGTTTTGTCAGACCTTGGAGCTGCCCTGAAATCCAGGTCATTGCTCATTTGTGGTCATTATGGGCCTTGGGCTACACTGGCGTGTGAGAAGAACTGAGTGATGTGGCCACACCAGGAGTGAGTAGTAAGCACTGCTGCTGTGTTCTTAGGGCAACGCTGGGGCCTCAGGACGCCCAGAAGCTGTCAGCAGAGCGGGCCCGGGCACCCATTGTGCCCTTTGGAGTGGACCTGTGCTACTGGGGCCAGGAGCAGCCAGCGGCTGGGAAGATCCTCAAGTAAGTCTAGTGGTGCCTGAAGTTCTTAGGGCACATGGCAGGGCCTGGCTAGCACGACACAAAGCTTTTACTAAGCCTTGCTATTGCTCTTTTGGGAGCCACCTGTGAAGGGACAGGCATTACAATCATGAAGGAATAGCCACAGCAAGTGCTGTGAAGGGGGAATGGGATGCTGCCTTTTGGAGAACTCTGCTTGGAGAGCCTTGGCACCTCCTGACCATGGTGTAGCTCTTCAGGCTATGGCAGATGGCTGCATCCTAATCAGAGAAGTTGAGGCTCTAAGGGCTACCTCACACCCTGTTGGAAGATTCAGTGTGCAGCATGCATCCCAGCCTCTTAGGCACCAAAGCATGGCGCATGGCACTCCTGGAGTGGTCCTGGGTTGTGGCCTCTAGCTGTTCTCTAGGATGCTTCTGAGCACTCCCACCCTGCCCTGTCAGCCAGAGAAGCCTGGGAGCTACCTCAGGAGGTCTCAGACCCAGGACAATCAGAGCTCAGAGGGGACAAAGGTGGGCTCACCTGGGACAGGGCAAGGGAGGTTGGAAGAGCCCAAGCTACATTAGGCTACTCATGCATACATACATCAGGGCAGGCCAGTGCTGCAGGTCTGAGACCAGTAAAGCCTGCAATTGTGAGCCCTAGGTAGGGGTGCTCGTGTGTGGTACTGACTTGAAAGGGGGCACAGGACCTCAAGGGGCATAAGAGAATGAGGCAAGAGTTTCCTGTGTGGGGGTCCTGGGGCCCCATGTAGTTAGACCCAGCATGGTTAGGCCTGAGTGGCTTGTGTGAGGATCTCATCAGTCCGTCCCAGACAGCAGCACTGTTTGGCCAGCATCATGCGTCCCCAAGTTCCTTCAGTTGTATGGGCCTCTGTATGTCACTGCCACCTGCCTGCACAGTGCTTTGGTGGCTTATACTTCTCCATAAAGCAGAGAGCACTCTCTGACCTCACTCTGAGGCCAGCTCTTCCTCCAGATGACTCCTCTTTGGAAAGGCTACTTCCATGGGGGCTGCTAGGCCACCCTTTGGGACCCAGTTTGTGGTGAACCACCAGTGGGAGGAAGGGAGAGGGAATACTTTGCATATGGACATGGTCCCGGGAGGGCAGGAAGCCCATTCCTGTTCCCGCTGCTGAAGCCCCGTGTTATGACCAGTTGGGTGTTGACCCCTGAATATACCCACTGAGTGGTCCTTCCCTTCAGGCACAGTATATTGTACCATTGGGGACCTCCCTGACTGACTTGGAGTCTCCTAGGGTGGCCCTCCTCTGTCTGCCAGGGGTCCCTGCGGGAATCCCTCATCCTAGAGCAGGCTGCAGGCTGACAGAAGATATGGGTGGCCCAGAGGCTCTGCCAGCCATGTCTCCCAGTGGGGAGCACTTGCTCAGTGCCCATGTGCCTATCTGTAGGCTGGAGGTCTGAGTAGGACATGCCTCACACTGCTACCCTGGGATCCTCTTGGACAGGAGCTGCTGGGCGGAAGGGGCCCCATTGCTGTGTCAGTAGGCAGCCAAGGCTGGTCTGTGTGGTCGTCTGGGAATCCAGACGTGTTACTTCTGTCCACCACTGTACCTGCCATCCCTAGAGTGTCCACTGTGTGTTGCTCATCTGAGCCCTGGCTGGGATGCTAGGCCTGAAGTACCTGCCAGCATTTGGGGCAGCTGGGGTCCATGTGCAGACAGCTTAGACCCCTGCCCCATGTCCTGGAGAGCAGGGCAACTGGAGCCCTCTGGCATCCAGAGAAAAACATCTTTAACAGGGTTGGTGACAGCAATAGCACATGGTATCACCCTATGGGAGCAAAGCTGTCCTTCCAGCCCCTAGGTACTGCACCAGGAGCCGGGCAGTTAATTTCTATATGCTCCTTCCTCTGGGGTGCTGGTCATATCACCGTCACAGCCTGCACTCACTCCCTTAGTGGCACCACCCATTACCCTTGGGGTGATGGCCTGAGGGCCCCAGAGCTGCTCTTCCCACTCTGCAAGAACAAGAAGCCTCACCTAGTGGTCCTGCTCACAGTCTGTTGACTGGTTCATGCAATGGCAGGATTTGAACCCGGAGGGAGTGACCATATCCTTCAGCTCAGGGAGCCCAAGGAGAGCTAGGGTGTAGTAGGGGCTGATCCTGTCCCCAGGGCTAGACACAAGGTGGCCACCTTCCTCCAAGGTCCCTAAAGACGTGCTTTAAGGGTCTCTGTTGCCTTTGCAGATCTGACTCTCAGCACCGCTTCTGGAAGCCCAGCGAGGTGGAGGAGGAAGTAGACAATGCAGATGTCTCTGAGATGCTTCGGAGTCGGCACATTACCTTTGCAGGGAAGTTTGAGCCTGTGCAGCACTGGTGCCGGGCCCCAAGGCCTGATGGCCGGCTCTGTGAACGCCAAGACAGACTGAAGGTGAGGCCAGTAAGACCATGGGCACAAGGGTGTGGCTACCCAGGGTGAAGCTGGGTGGGGAAAGGGCTGCCAGAGGGAAGTGCTGACCACCCCCCACCCTGCCCTGGGCCAGGGACCTTGAGGGACCCTGGAGAAGGGGCTGACTGTGGTTGACATAAGTTGCTTAGCCACTGGCCATCAGAGCATTGTGTCTGGGGTCTCCTGCCCTGGGCCCTGGAGTCGACTTATGAGGACCTTCCACGGCACTAGAGGCCTGCTTTGTGTAGGGCTGGAGTCCTCAGGGCAGGGAGTTAGTTGAACATGCTCAGCCTTCCAGACTCTCTGGGCAGGTGGGGAGTGAGGCGAAGCAAAGTCATTTCAGACAAAACTGACTTGAAGCTCAGGATTCCTGCTGCTGCTGCTGCTGGGATCCTCCCCACTTTTGAGGGGCATATGATCACAGGGCAGTGTAGATCTCAGTTTGTCTGTGCCACCCTCCCTGAGAACTGTTTGCCCAAGGAGTTGTAGAACTTTCAGCCATCAGTGGCTCTATGCTTGCTGTGCAGTGCCCATTCCATGGGAAGATCATCCCCAGAGATGACGAGGGGCGGCCCCTTGACCCAGAGGACAGAGCCCGGGAGGAGAGGCAGCGACTGCAGCAACCGGTGCGACCAGGTAGGACTGAGTGGACAGGAGGAGGCACCATGGGCACAATCCCAAGACCTGCTGCCAGGTGGCCCAAGAGCATCCCAAGGAGCTCTGTGTGGCCACCAAGCTGCATACTCCATTCCTAACTGAGAAGCAGGTCAGGGGCTCCTCAGTGGGACGTGGGATGCTCACACTTGTAGTGCGTTTCTTGTAAGTTCCTGACAGGGATGTGGACACACCTGCCTCCAGAAACCACCACTTCAGCACCTCTGTGGTTTGATTCTGAGTCTTTTTTTTTTCTTTTTTGTGGTACTGGGACTTGAACTCAGGGCCTACACCTTGAGCCACTCCACCAGCCCTTTTTGTGTTAGGTATTTTTGAGATAGGGTCTTGCAAACTATTTGCCTGGGCTGGCTTTGAACCATGATGCCTCCTGAATAGCTAGGATTACAGATGGGTTCTGGGTCTTAATTCTGATTCTGAGCAGATGAAGGAATGGTACCAAGAAGAGGCAGCTGATTGAGTTGAGCCCCAAGCTGCTCACAGAAAGCCAGTTGGCCTCTCCTGATGGGCTCATCTACTCTTGTCCTTGGGTAGGCAGAAATGCATGTCACTAATGCCTTCCAGGCACACACTATGGCCTGGCAGCCAGAGTTGGCAGGTGCCCTGTGCTGGCCCCTAGGCCCCGAAGGCTCCTGAGCAGCAGGGCCATCTGTGGTGAGTAGCTTCCATAGGTGGCAGCCACTGTAGGACTTGAGCTGCCTACCCTGCCCCTGGGCAGCTATGACCCACCTTACTGATTCTGTGTTGGTCAAGCCTGGCTGTGGTTTTGTCTAGTTTGGAGGCTGCAGCCAGCTTCAGAACCCTCCTTTGAGGAGGGGACACGTCTGCAGGCCCCTTTATGGCTTCTTGCACTTTGGTCATAAGATACAAATGCTGGTTTCAGCCTGGAACCCAGAGACATGCCAAGGCTGGCTGGCGACAGGGAGGGCCCTGACCTGTTAATCTTAAGGGCGAGGCCTTCCCTGGTGGCTCGCACTTGGGAGCAAATTAAGTGCCTATTTTTGTGTCAACTCTGAAGAGTATCTGGTTTTCCAGCCCTCGGTGGCTTGTTAACAAACAGGTATCAGGCCGCGGGCCGAGCCAGTGCTGGCCAGTCAGATGTGAAATAGCGTCTCTTTACTAACTGCAGTATTGATCCCGCCTCCCTCACACACGGGGCAATTTTCTTTTCCCTGGCGCTAACCTCAGTGACAATGCCTGTGGTGCTCCAGGGCCAGCCAGCGCCCAGGAAGGCGCACGGCCCCAGCATCTATTGATTTTCTTCAAAGGCTTTTAAATTGCTCCTTCATTTTCCTGAGGTGCTCATTCCATCTCCACTGGATGCTGGCGTTTTTCCTTGTGTTTAAACAATTGCTCCATTCACTGGGTTCCTAAACTGTGACGCCTTCTTATTACCGGGAGATAAACTGTTTAGACAGTTTTCCTTAATCTTGGATTAATCGTCCCTGTATCTGAATCGTGCAGCCCTGAGTTCCTTCTCTTCAAAAAATCAGCTTGGAGAGGCCGTGCCATCTGTTTGTCTGGGGTGCATGGCTTTTCCCTCGATGGACGTGGTCTCCTCACAGCCTGGCCTCACTGGTGCCCAGTCCCTTGCCCTAGCTCACAGGTCCTCCTTGCATGTTTGGTGTCTCTGGGCACCCACTAGACTGTGAAGTGTCAGGTGTCTGCAAGCCAGGCTTATCTGCAGGCTGGGCCCATTAGGGCGGCTTTGTGATCGTCTGCTTCATCTGGGACAGCTTTGCCCGGCCAGACTCGATCAGTGCCACGTCTTATAGGTCTTGTGGCATCCTTCAGAGAAGAACCAGCAGAGACCCAAGAGGGGAGCAACTGCCCAGGCTCTGACCCCAAAAGGGGCTTGGTGCCATTTACATAGTTATCATTCGACAGCCTGGCAAGTGAGCAATGACCTCACCATGAGTCCGGCCTGGTGCTGGCAAGGCCCCTTAAGTGGGACCAGGTGACTTTCACTTCCCTCACAGCCTCATGGCTACAACAATGCCCAGCCATGCAAGAAGAGCAGCCTTTGAACTCCCATCCTGTGTTTTTCTGAGACCTGTGGCCAAGTTACGTGTGGAATGTTAAAAGCCATCTTGGCCCACCCATACCCCTCAGCTCTGCTAGCTCCTGCCTTGTACACACACTGGTCAGCAGGTGTGTCTGACAGCACTGCAGTTGTTCATCCTGCAGGCTAGAAAGTAGCCTGTGGTACTCCAACTCCCTGGCCACCAGCTCTGCCTCCATCCACTCTGACCCATCAGCAAGTGTACTAGGAGGGGCCTTTTGGGCATGCCTGGCGCCTTGGCCTGTGTGGACTGCTGAGTTCAGGGCAGTAGGAACCAAGAAGGGAGGTGGCTCTGCCTGGCCTTCACTCCCAGGTGGCTAGCTCCTTTCACTCAGGGATACCTGAGCCCCAGCACAAACCCTGTCAGGCCATAGAGCCAAGGCATGCTGCAGGCAGGCTCCTGGCCCCTCTGTCTGGACAAAGGCCCACGAAGTCCACTTTTAGGGTTGAGGGGCTTTGACAAGAGGTATTCCGACTGATGCCAGGCATTGTCTAAAATCTTCGAGTTTTGTTCAGACTGGCAAGACCCCGAGTTTATGAAGGATGTGGAGGCAGCCACAGGTGCGGACCTCGGCTCGTCCAGATACAGTGGGAAGGGCAGAGGAAAGAGGAAGAGGAAGCACCCCCAACTCACAGACCTGCGGGAGCGGGCCAACACCTCTCGGGCCCGCATCGGGAAGAAGGTCTTGCCAAGTAAGAGCCCTCACTGGCCAGGGCCAAGCCCCAAGCTGCTGAGCTCTGAGAGCTTCTCCCTGGTGACCCCCCACCCTGGCCAGGGCAGCTGTCCCAGAGGCTGGGTGGGTGCAGAGCTGCAGCTGGACATCCTGAGTGTTCTCCCAGGAGGCCCCACCCTCTCCCTTCCTGTGATAGCTGGCATTGTAGGTGGGGGCCAGCTGGTACACAGTCCTGGCCCTCTTCCTGACCCAAAGGGTTGGGCACTGGCCTTGCTGTGCCAGGTCAGTGCCCATGCTATTGTCTGCGGCAACAACCTCAGGGAGGTTTCTGCAAAGGTTGGTGGGCGGGGGTCACTGCACAGGTTGGCCCCATAGAGCTCGGCTTCTTCACCAGCAGGGCAGCCCAGCCACCAGCCTTGGTCCCCACTGCCTCTCAAGGCATTGCTGTCTCTGCATCTCTGCACCTGTTGCAAGAGGCTGCAACAGGTTGTCAGAGCCACTGAGGCTGCTGCCCTGCAGGGTTGAAGCCCAGTCTGGCAGCATAGCAAGGCAGCCACAGCACTAACCGGAAGCTTGCTGTGCAGCAGTGTATTTGCAGGAGGCTATCTCCCTCCCTGCCAGCATTGCTGTGCCCTTTGCCTGAGGGAGGCAGGCAGGAGAGAGGCTCCCATGGCACTCGACCCATGCCCTGGAAGGGCCTGTGTGGTGGGGCTGTGTGGGAAGCCTTTGATGCCTGGTGTGGGGCCAGGTCTGGTAGCTTCTCAAACTCAGGTGCCAGGCCAGTTTCCCATGGGTCAGCTGGGGGGTCAAGGATACCCTAGGGCCTTTACCCCAGAGCAGTGACAGCCTAGGGGTCTGTGCCTGGTGTCCTCCCTGTGTTCTCCTGGGGTCAGCAGATGTGATAGGAGCAGGACCTGAGAACTGGCTCCTCACAGCAAGAGGTGTAGCCTGGGCCCTCTTTAGATAGGACCTCAAGTGACCACAAGTAAGCCCTGCCTTAAAGAGTTTGCCCCACAGTAGTGACTGCCAGGCTCCAGGGGTTGGGGGTCAGGAGGCATCTCCACTGTGCAGCTCAGACTCTACTGGGCCTAGTGCCAGCAGGGTCAGTGAGATGCTCTTTGTTCTGCCTTGGATGGGGCCAGAGGCCATGGCCACTCATGCCTTGTGCCCTCCTCTCACTGTACAGTCATGGGTACTTCCCTTAACTCTGGATGTGCAAACCCATGTGTGAGTGTGCAGTAGGACCCAGCAGTGTGACCACACTTCCCAGCTGCATGGGCTTGCAAGGCTATGCCCCAGGAGGTAAATGGCCAGGCTGTGCCCCCATGCTGGAGTGCAGCCTGGTACAGGCTGTCTCTCAGGGCTAGAGAGACAATGCCAAGGACCTCTTTCCCCAGGCAGAACCACCACTGTGGACTCCAACTCTGGGACTGGTGAGCTCCACTGCGTCTGAGCCTTGCCTTCCAAAAGTTCAGCAGTGCCCACAGGAAGTCTGCAAGTGGTCCAAGAGCAGCAGCTGCACCAAGACCAGTGAGGCTATGGTTAGCAACAGACCATTGGCCAAACCTCCCTGATCATGTCTTGCTTTGTTCTCCCCCCAGGGCTGCTGTGCAGAGAGTAGTTGCTGCCATGAACCAGATGGACCAGAAGAAACACGAGAAGTTTGCAAACCAGTTTAATTATGCACTGAATTAAAGGGCTGAACCACATGTGCTGTGGTGCACTCTGGTTATCAGTTCTCCCACTGTCAGCACTCTAGCATGGGAGAGCATGCACACACCTGGACAGAACCACAACCTGTTTGTGTGTATGTAACATCAGAAAATGGTGCATTAAGATGCTCTGAAAAACGACTGGGGTGTGGCTCCATAGTAGGGCACTTGCCTAGCATGCATGAAGCCCTGGGTTCCATCCTCAGGACCACCAAAAGCAAAATTTCAACCTCATATGGTGTTGCATACCTGTAATTTTAGTACTTGGGAGGCAGAAGCAAAAGGTGATGAGTTCCAGGTTAGCCTGGGCAACTCAGTGAGATCCTGTCTTTAAAAAAAGCTGAACACTATTGCTCATGCCTATAATCCTAGCTGTTCCAAAGATGGAGATTGGGAGGATCACAGTTTGATGACAGCCCAGGCAAAAATTTAGCGAGACCCCATCTCAACAAATAAGCTGGGTGTATTGATGCACGTCTGCTATGCACAAGGCATAGATAGGAGGACTGTGGTCTGAGGCTGGCCCAGGCAAAAAATATGAGACACTATCTGAAAAATAAGTAAAACAATAAGTGCTTGAGGACATGACTCAAGTGACAGAGTACTTGCCTAGCAAACGTTGAAGCCATGAGTTCAGACGCCAATACTACCAACCAAAAAAATATATGCTCTCTTAGGATGGCCTCACTGCCAGCAGGGCACCATTATCTGGATGCAGTGAGGCCTTGGAGCCCAGGGTGTGAGCAGGGCAGCATTGTGTCCCTAGTGGGACATCTCTAGTCCTTTCAGACCGTAATGTCTTCAGAACCAATGGATGCACACAGCATCCAGAGCCCGCACCTCTGCCATCTCCCCAGAAGGTGATCACGCAGCAGTTCCTGGAAAGCCCGTGCTGTGACACATGGCTATATTTAACACAGACAAAATGGCTGGTATCAGACTCTCAGTTCCTCACTGAGTGGTTTTTGTATTGCTAGGGATCAAACACTGGCCTTGCACATGCTAGGCAAGGGCCCTGCCACTGAGCTGGGTCCCCCAGTTGCTCTGTCTGGTGTGTGTGGATCTGTTCTGGCAGCACTGAGGTTTGAACTCGGGGATTCATCTGCACCCCCAGTGTCTGTTTATCTTTTAATGGCAGCTCTACTGAGAGCCACCCCTTTGGTGTGTCTGTCAGTGCTATAAGCACTGGCATAGTTGTACAGCCCACAGCACTGTCTGCCCAGGACTGTGACGGAGCCCCTCACCCCACTCTCCCTAGCAGCAGCTGGTCTTTCTGTTTCTGGATTTGTCTGCTCTGAACATTTCAGATTGATGGGACCATGCAGCTGTGGCCTTTGTCTCTGGCTTCTTCCCATAGTGTAATGTTTCAGGGTGCTCCATGTGACACACAGCCCAGTAACTTCCCAGAGGAGAGGCCCCCCCAAAATACTGACATTGGGTTGTTCCCACTTTGGGGTAATTATGAATAGTGCTGCCATTTTGTGAGGATGTGTGTGCATTGACTTTGGGGTCCATGCAGGAGTGGAGCTGGTAATTGGTAAGTAACTGACTTCGTGAACTGCTATACTGATCCCAAGGCCAGGATGGGGTCGAGGGCACATCCCACCTGTGACGGCGGCTCTGATTTCCCCATATTCCCGCTCTCACTGGTTGCTGTCTCTTCAATCCCAGCAGATGGAGTGTGTGTGAAGTGTCCTCAAGATGCTTGTTTGCGTTTTTGTGGTGGCCAGTGATATTGAGCACATCTGTGTGCCGACCAGCCACTTGAGTATCTTAGAAGAAGTGTCCGGAGCTCTCTCATTTTCAGTTTGTCCAAAAATGAGACAAACTCATTTTGTTGTTTGTCTTGTACTACAATTATACCTATTCTGGATACTAGACCTTTATGTGATTTGCAAGCATTCTCTCCCATTCTGTCTTTTCACCTTGATATTGCCCTTTTTTGGATTTTTGAGCCAAGAGTCTCACCATTGTAGCTCTGGCTGGCCTCCAGCTCTCGATCCTCCAAGCTTAGCCTCCCAAGTACTGGAATTACAGGTATATACCACAATGCCTGGCTCTTGATGGTGACTTTTTTTTTTTTGACCTTTAAAACAAAAATAGTTGTCACATTTGAGGCAGTACAACTTACCTGATTTTTCTTTTCCTGCTTGTGCTTTTTGATGTCCTAAAAAACCATTGCCTAACTTGAGGTCACAAAGATTTACTCCTCAGTTTTCTTCTGAGAGTTGTATAGTCTTAGTGCTAATGTTTAGATCTTTGAATATTTTTTGCATGTGAGGTAGGGTCAACTTCATTTTTTTATTCACATGTACTGGCCCAGCACTAGCACTGTTTGTTAACAAGATTATCTTGGCACCCAGTAATAACCAGTTGCCATGAACCTGGACGTAGAGATGCTTTCTGGGTGCTTGCTTCTCTTCTGTTGACCTGCATATCCTGGATGTCAGTGCTGGGATGCTTGCGTTAGCTGTAGCCACGGGGTCAGCTTTGGATGTGGTGTGAGTTCTCCAGTTCTGTTTCAAGATGGTTTTGACTGTTCTGGCCAAATGAATTTAAGGATCAGTTTGTCAATTTCTGTTAAAAAAGCAGCTGAAATTTTACTTAGGGATTGCATTCAGTCTGTAGATCACTTCGAGAAATATTGCCCTCTTAATAGTAAGTCTTCTAATTCATGGACTTCTGATCTCTTTCATTTAATTGAGTTCTAGTTTTTAGCATGAGTCTTGTGTTTACTTCATAAAATTTATCCCTAAGCACTTTATTATTTCTGATGCTACTGTAAATGTAATTGCTGAATTGCATTTTTGGATTGTTGTCTGTGTTTGGAAACACAGCTGATTGTTTATGTCAGTCTTTCCTGCCACCTTGCTCTACTTGCCCACTAGTTCTGATAGGTGTGTGTTAGGTCCTCTGCAGACAGACTGAATTCCTTCTGTTTCTTTTTCATGCCTAAGTGTTCTGGCTTGCACCTCCAGTCAGTGTTGAGTAGACAGAATAAGAGGGCGTCCTTGTCTTGCTCCTGCTCCAGGGCTGGGGCGCTTCCATATGACCTTTGTAGAGGTCAAAGGTCCTCACTGGGTGGAGGACATTCTCACCTTCTGTTGAGTTTTCCTAACAGGTTGAATGTTGTCGGCTGCTTTTTGTTTCTCATGTACTGAGGTGGTCCTGTGATTCCACCCTCCATTCCATTGACATGCTGTGTTACTCTAAAGGCTGCTCATGTCTTGAAGGAAGCTTGCATTCATGGGATAGACCCCCTTACTCCTTTTCCTATGCTGCTGCATCTGTTTGCTAGTATTTTGCATCTGTATTTATCAGAGAACTTGATCATAGGCTGAGTTGGGAAGTGTACCTTTCTCTCCTAGATTTTGGAAGACTTTGTGAAAAACTGATAATATTTAAACATTTGGAGATTCCATGTGGCCCTGGGCTTTTTTTGGGGGGTACGGTACTGGGGTTTGAGTTCAGGACTTCATGCAGGTGCTCCACTGCTTGAACCACACTTCTAGTCCAAGGTCCTGGGCTTGGTGGGACTTTCTTATGTTAGTAATTTGCTACCTTATTATATCTTTACTAATTCCTCTCTATAGTCTGCTTATAGTTTCTGTTCCTTCTTTGTTTTCTGAGACAGGGTCTCTCTGTGTTGTCCATGCTAGCCTCCCAATGGTTGATCCTCCTGCTCAGCTCTCAAGTGTCACAACACCACTCCTAGCACCTTTTATTCCTTCTTGAGTCATTCACTACTTCATCTCTTTCTAAGAGTTTGTCCATTTTACCTCAGTTCTTTTTTGTAATTTGTGGAACTGTAGTGGTTTGTAGTATTTCCCTATTTTAGTAACTTGATTTCTCTCTCCCTCTCTCCACCCCCCTTGATAAATTTACCTAAAAATTCATAATTTCCTTGATGTATTCAGAGAGGTAACCTTGGTTTGTGCTGATTGTTCCAGTTACTTCCCATTCTTTACCTCATTGGTTCCACTCTGTTCTTTATGATTTCCTCTGGGTTCCTTTGGACCTCATCTTCTCTTCCTTTTTTTGGTGTTTCTTTTCTTTTTTGGGGGGGACACTGGAGTTAAACTCAGGGCTTCATACTTGCAAAGCAGGCACTCTAGCACTTGAGCCACACCTCTATTCCCTGAAACTTTTATTTTTAATAAAGGTGCTTATAGCTATAATTTTTTTTATCTATGCATTGCTTTAACTTTACCCCATAAGTTTTAGTGTGCTGCATTTTATCTTTTTGCTTCATCTCCAAATATTTTCTAATGTTTAGGTTGTTTCTTCTTTTACCCATTGATTATTTAGGAGTGTGTTACTTAGTTTTCACATACTGGTGAAGCTCCTAGATTTCCTTGTTAAGGATTTGTGGCTTCATTCCCTTGTGAGCAAAGAATGTACTTTATGTGGGTTAAGTGCTCCTCCTGCCCCGAGAGTTGCTTCAGCCTTCCCTGTAATTCCTGCTGGGATTACAGGCGCATGCCACCCTTACAACATAGTTTCCTTGTTGTCCTTTACCACTTTTCTTTTTTTTGGCAGTACTAAGGTTTGAACTTGGCCTCATGCTTGCTAGGCAGGCGTTCTACCACTTAAGCCACACTGACAGCCCTTTCTTGTGTTGGGTAATTTTGAGATAGGGTCTCACAAACTATTTGTCCAGGGCTGGCTTCTAACCACGATCCTCCTGATCTCTACCTCCTGACTAGCTGATTATAGGCAAGAGCCACTGGTGCCCAGCTTCTTTTACCATTTTTTAAAAGTTGTTTTTACAGTGGTTGCTGAGTAGTATAGTTACCTTAAAAGAGTCTAGTTTGGATCAAACTGCCTTAATTTCAATAATGTACTGACTCTTTGCTCCAGTGCAGCTCTGCCCCCACTGACCCCCCCACCCCAGCTTCTGTGTTCCAGTTGGGACACATGTGTCACATCTTTGTAAATGGCAAGCCCATCAAAGTTTTGTACTATTGCTTGGTAAGTTGACCTTAGATAGGAGAAAAGATATTAAGAACAGGAGTGCATCCGTACTGCCTTTAGCTTAGCTCTGTTCTTGCCCTTGCCAGGGTCCTGTTCCCTGGGGTGGATACTTGCCATCTGGCCTTGCTTACTCATGCAGGGCAGGTCTGCAAGCAGTGAGGTCACTCCATTTTGTCTGTCTCAGCTTCTCCTCTACTCCTGAAGACTTTCTGCTGGAGATAGCATTCTTGGTTGACAGTCTTGTTCAGCCCCTTGAGTGGTCACCATTT